CTGTGCAAATATTGATAAGCGTCAGTCACCACCGCCTGCTGTTGGCCAATCCCGAATCCGAGTCCCCGAAAAATACCGACACCTTCCCATCATCATCATCCTGGCACTTTTATTTGTTTCGCAATCAGACTGCCAAGTGACATTCGGCGGTTGTTTGCTCAACGCGGCTTAATGCTGGCCAGATTAGGCCTAGCCAGGAATCTAGATCCGGCAAATGGAACGAAAACAGAGTTGATTTCCCCGATATACAGGAGGGATAATTAAATAGTTCCGCTTCGCCCTCCTAGAAATCCTTCCGCCAAAAACAGCCCAACCAGCGAAATTGACAGGCGTTGGCCAAATTGAAGAATTTCTGTGTGTAATAAATTTGAAACGTGACGCGCGGCAGGAGCCAAAACAACTGCTACCTTTTCACCCGGGCTTATTGATAGGATAGGTTGCGAATGTATCCCCCATTGGAATTCCCATCCGTAGTATGCATGTCAGCGGGTCTGATAGATCTGTCACCTGCTCACGTACGCGACATCGCAATGTTTGTCAAACATGATAACCTCGGCTAATAATTTATGAAATTTCCAATAATAAGCCTGACCAAGTTCATAAATTACGGCGACGCTCGTTCCTTTATTCCTTTAAGGATGTTCGACGCATCCAGCGAGCACGTGCAACTAGTTTGCTGATTGATTAAACCACGCAAAACCATCGTCTTGAAGGGCCAGCTATATGTATATGTATTACATATACAAACGTCAGGATGTTTCAGGAATTGTTATTAGATCGTTTGCTAGTTCCCCCGTTGGCTTTCGTACTTTTGCCAAGTCGGTTTGATGCCAGAAAGCTGATTCTGATGCTGATCTGACGTGGACGGTACACGTGCTAAAGTCACTTTTAACGGAACAACACGGCATCACTTAACGCTTTAACCCCCGACCCCAGACTCCCTAATCCCCCCCAGACCCATGACCATTCACTGGGACGTGACAAGTGCGGCCAATGGGCTATCGCCCGGCATGGGCCCACGATTCCCTCTCATTGTCATGTGCAGCGCATAAATAGGGCGGTTCCCAGCAAAGAATACCCAATATTCCCGGCTCCAGGCTCTGCTCTTCTTAAAGCATATCAAGTATACGCACTCGCCGCCCTTCGTTAAAGTCAAGCATGCCATAAAATCAAATTCCCAACGAGCTGATGGAATTACTTGCAAAAATATTTAACAACTCGAGAGAGTGCGAGGCAGCATGCCAAAAATCCAAATTATTGTCAACAGGCAAGCACTTCTGGAAACATTAGACACTTGCCCCGAAAATGTACTTGGAATGTAACAACGAGCAAACATTAAGCCCTTGCTCGAAAATATTTGCCTCAATTAGGCAAGAGTTTCGGGCATATTTCACACAACACCACCTACTGGGTATTACGTAAATATGTTAATTCTACGCTCGACCCAAAGACAAAAGCTCCCCGAAGTCCGAGTTCTGGTGACGTTTTCATTAGAAATGCAAATGGGCATGGCGACATCTTCAAGTTCAAGTTGCCGATAAATTTCGAGGGGAAAGAGGTAAGGGAAATATCGAATTGGACTGGGAAATACCGGGTCAGCCAGGTGATAGTCGGGTCAACCAGTTTTTCGGTTGGCCTCGCTCCACAGTTGATTTTCTTCTACAGATTCCGATTCCGATTCCATAGGCCTGGGCTTTCATTACGTATACGCAGCGTTGCGCCAAATTTATGTCAACCCAGCGAGACGCGAACTGGCGCAATATTTACGCCTATGTGTTCTTATTTTCTAATTACTATATACATATACTATATGGGGGGAGGGGTGGTGTGTATCTGTAATTAGTGTTTTGCACACACATATTCATATTAAAAGCCGGCATAGTCGGCTGCTTAATAAATTAAACGACAATTTGCACTGGGACCGTGTGCTGTTGCTGTGTTGGTCGTAAAGAGAGCCGGGTATGCTGAAAACTGGGACATTAAGCTGGCATTAGGCAAAAAAGGCAGGCCTGCAATTAAAATAAAATGGAGAGCTCAAGCGTCGACGACAATGTGCACTATATGTTTATGTACAAAAGCAGACAAATTCGTGTTTTTAGTCAGGGGTTCCAAGTACCAAGGAGGCCTCGAAAATAATTTATTGCCTTCTTGCGGGCGCCAAGGATCACACAATAAGCTAAGAATTTATATGCTTGTTTTTTTTTCCGCCTTAACTCTCTAGATAGATAGCGGGATTTTCTAGCAGCCAGCGAAGTTTGCCTTCTGGCTTTTCTAGTGTCAATTTCCCGGGGCTTTTTCGCCTGATTAACGCGCATAAACAGAGAAATCTCTTTTATGCTCGTTTTTTTAATAAATAATCTCGGCCACTTAGCTGGTTGCGCAAAAAAATCAACATACATATATAAATACGCAAAATAATAATCAGCATCTGTCGTCGTTGCCGTTTGATTGTCAATACAAAATGTTTTTATCGCTAACACAATTTGCTAAACAAATTGGCCAGCTCGGCGAAATTTGATTTGATTTATTCCTTTCAGCACTCTCGGCCAGGTTTTTTTTAAATATCACTCTGTGTTTTTTAGCATAAGCTTTAGTTTAGTTTCAGTTCGGTTCGCTTTGGTTCGGGGCTTTTGCGCTTGCAATAATTGATATCGGCTATTTGCATATCAAATTTAATAAATTTGCATATATCTTGTTTTTTTATTTTTTTTGCAGTCAGAAACGGTTTTGTGGCTAGCCAGTCAGCTTTTTTGGTAAAACATATATTTCTTCTCGATTTTGTCGCCCAGGTATGCGGAAACAATTTTTGAATCAAAAAGCAAAAAATCGAATCAAGAAAATAATAATAGAATAGAACCAAAAGCGGTTCGCTCATAAAAGAGTTCTCAAAAACAGCCGGCAGCTCCAAACATTTCTGCAAAAGAAAGGCAAGAAGCAAACAAACTCGTTTAACTGGGCTTTAACTTGGAAATTTCATATAAAGCTTATGATTTAAGGAAATTACTAATGCTCCAATTTATGGTGAGGCGACAGATTCGATTGGGTTTTTGCACCTGAAAGGCACCGCCCGGTTTTGACACCCGGCCGAATAAATTAAATGCACAATTTTATTCGATTTGGCTTTTTGTGTGTTCCAGAACAATGGCAATAAAATAATATAGAGGCGGGTCAAGAGTTCCAATCTCAAAGAGAGGGAAAACGAAATAATGAAAGAAATAATAAACAGTGACAGATTTTGTAAATAGATCGATTGACCCGAAAGGCCATTTGCATAAAGCGATGCTAGAAATTCCCTCCCGGAGTTTGATTTTGTTTTATTTATATATGGGATTTTTTCTTGTCGGTCCAGCGGGCCCGGATTTTATTTATTTATTGATACGCCAACGTCTTTCGATTCGGACCGCTATTATCTTCGATCCGGAGAGCTGGAAACTCTTCCCCACATTTCGACCACTTTTTTATTTTTTATGTCGCTGCTGCGTGCATCTTTTATGTGCGTGTGGCGCCCGAGACCTTGAAATTGTAGCTGGTTTGTTTTATTATGTTTACATTTGTTTAGTTTGCATATGACATTGCCACCAGCGAGACTAACTTGACCAATCCACGATCCGCAACAGTTGGCAGCGGGCAAAGGCAAAAGCAAAAGGTGGGGCCCACAAAGCCAAGACAAATTGTTTTTGACTTTAGGTTATTGCCTCGAGTGTCAATCTTGATTAGATTCTGGTGGGGGTTACTTTGGTATACCATCATTATATATAGAACACCCAAAAAATGATATCATAGCTTGAACTTGGTCTTGGCTTAAAATCCCTGGCGGATTTCCTCAGTTACTCACCATCATCATCATCGCTATAGTTATCCGTGATATCAATCAATATCTTAGTCATAACCGCGATCTATTGATTTGCAAATCGATTTGGCGGCTATCTTAAATATGGATCTTGGGTATTTCTCTCCGTTGGATCTCTTTAATTATGCAAATCGAATCAGTTTTCAGCCCCCTCTCGCCATCAAGCCTTTGCCAAAATATAAAGAAAAAAACAATAATTTTTATGATATCAATAAACCATGATGAAAAACGTGATAATCGCTGATCAGATTAAATGGTCGCCTGGCGCCAGCTGATTACCGCCGAATTCCGAGTAGCTTCGGTGAAAAAAACAAAAAAAAATCACTCAAGGTCGCAACGGTTGTTAACTTTATGGCTTCTATTTTGCAAAGCCGTGCTTTCGGCCACAGGTTAAATGGATGGACAGATGGATGGATGGACTGATGGATGGATGGATATGAATGAATGGATGCGCAAAAAAGGCTGGCGAAAATTGATTTCTATCCATTGTTTCCCCCACATAACCGCCTCATATCGAATGGCCAAACCCAAACCCAAACCCTGGAGTCCCAAATACCATACACCATATATATAGACACCACATATATATTCCAAATACCAAAGGGGGCGCAATAATCGCTGGGAATTCCCAGCTAGAAATATGCGGCTGGACCAACTAAAAAGTTGATAGAAAAACCGAATCGTTTTCGAACTCGTTTCCGATTTGGCCGAGCCAAATGTTTTAGCATACAAAAAATAAATATGAAGAAAATCATTTCATTTACTGAAAGCATGACCATTTATAGTGGCTTTGGCTAAACGAGTTTCCAGCTTTCTGGCCTGCCCAAAAAGCCCAAAAGAGCCTGCTCTATTGGATTACAACGTGTATATTTGTTTTTTTTTTTCGAAGATGGTACTACGACTTTTGGACTGAGGGGACAATTTGCATAAAGTCAACGCCGAGCATTTGCAAGAATAGGGCGGCAAGATATCGATGCGCTTTGTTCGCCGACGACTCGACCATTGTTTTATCGCACCAGCGACGTCTTTTCGAAGGTGGATAGCATTTCAAGAGACAAAAGCTGCCGAAGAAGTTACCAAAAAATGCTCGAAGCCAACAAAAACAACAAGAGTGGTAAGTCTGCATGAACTTGAGCGCAGTCTAGTGACACCGATCCTTGGTTTTTCGGTATAAATATTGGACCTTTCGGTGTTGCAAACGTCAGACACAGCCGAGTGCTCAAAGTCAAAGAACTAAATTCAAAATGCGTGCCTTTATTGTAAGTATACAAGAAATAAATCGATGGACTACTCCAGAGGATATACGATAACAAGGATTATAATGGTTAATTCTCTATCCAAAGGTTTTGTGCTTGGTGGCAGTCGCCTGCGCCGATAAGCTCGGCTACAACTACCAGCCCGTGGGACACTCCAGCTCCGGACTGTCCTTTGCCCCAGGAAGCGGTGGCTCCATTGGAGGAGGATCCATTGGCTCCATTGGAGGAGGTTCCATTGGCTCCATTGGAGGAGGATCCATTGGTGGTGGCTCCATTGGAGCCAGCATTGGCAGCGGTGCCGGTCTGGGTGGTCTGAGCAGCATTGGAGGTGGCTCCATCGGCTCCATTGGCGGTGGTGAGGCTCTGAGTGCCCCCGTCTCCTACAGCGCCCCTGCCCCCGTTGCCGAGCTGGAGAAGGAGTTCTTCACCTTCACCGCCAACGAGCAGGACTTCGATGAGCCCCAGCAGCTGGAGAAGGTTTCCTCTGCCCTGAACAAGGCTCTCCGCGTTGTCTTCATCAAGGGACCCGAGAACCGTGGCCTGGAGAACGCCGCCCTGGCTCTGGCCAAGCAGGCTGCCCAGCAGGAGACCGCCATCTATGTGCTGAACAAGCAGGCTGACATTGGTGATCTGGCCAACAAGCTGAACGCCATCCGCAGCAACAACAACAACAAGCCCGAGGTGCACTTCGTGAAGTACAGGACCCAGGAGGATGCCGCCAATGCCCAGCGCGCCATCCAGGGTCAGTACGACCAGCTGGGAGGATCCAGCCAGGCCCACAACGGTGGTGTCGCCCCCGTCCTGAACTTCGCCTCCGCCGGTCCAGTGCGTCAGGCCACCGCCCAGAACCCCGACAACTCCTACCTGCCCTCCTCCGTCTTCCGTCGCGTCTAAGTCGCTCGTTTTTACTCCTTAGGGTAGCAAAAAACACAAAAACGCCAGCGATCTTTGACTGACTTAAATCCTAGTTATTGTTGACTAATGCTTAAATAAATTCAATTCTTAAATTTTAAACCAATTTCATACTTTTTAGTGCGTTTTCTTTTGGGAGCCCCTGAAACTTTGCTCGCCCTGTTTAATGGGGCGACGAAACTTTGCAAGTTCAGATTTATTTTCGCGAAATATTTTTCTTTCAAACTTTGAAAAGCGAAAACAAGTTGGCAGCCAAATTATATTCAGCATTTTAATATATAAAATTTTTAAAACTATTTAATGCATTCATTGAATAACACTATAAAATTTAAGCTGAAGGCCTCCTCTGGATTATTAATTTTTCTTTAAGAATTTTTTGTGTTTATTTTTGGAAGGCTGTAGTATAGTTTAATTCCTTTTTCACAGTTTTTTTCAAATATTTTATTGCATACATTGTGGGGACCTCATGGATATGGTAATTAAATCTTTAATCGATTCGCTTTTAAAACTGGAGGTTTTTATTATTGGGCATTATTCGCAGAAAATGAAAAATTTGACAAAATTTAGTCGAAAAGTGGCGGGTATCAATTTTTATATTGTTAGCTGCCCGAAAGTGCATTTTTGATTTCTGACAATTTTTGCCCAAGTCATAACAAAAACTTTAATGAAATATGTTTTTTTAAATCCATATTCTTATTTTACACCCAGAAAATAAATATTTTTGGGATGATGCAAATAATCCAATTCCCAAACAATAGCCATTACAACCTGAAAATTTAATTTTTTGAAATTTTTTCTTAAACCCTTATGAAAAAGGAAACGATATGGATCGTTTGCTTGTGTTGTTGAAAAACCGCATAAATAACTAGAATAAATGCTAAAATCATATATTCAGGTTGAATATATATTTATAGCGGTGAAGTTCTGATAGTTTGAAAGGTATGGCATAATTAAAAACTTCATATTCTTTTACATAACCAAATTAAATAATTTTTATTCGAAAACAACGTTTAACAAAGGGGAATTTCTAGTGACGCAGGCGGCTGAGGATGTTGGCGGGCAGGTAGTTACTCTGGGGCAGCTGTTGTGGGGCGCTTCTAGCAGGAGCAGCTCCTTGGGAGGCGAAATTAATGGCATTGGCCACTCCTCCGTTGATGGACTGGCTGGATCCGCCCAGCTGATCGTACTGCGATTGGATGGCCCTCTGGGCATTCTGGGCATCCTCGGGTGTCCGGTACTTGACGAAGTGAACCTCTGGCTTCTTGTTGGCATTCTGTCGCACGGCATTGAACTTCTGGGCCAACTCGTTGATGTCGGTTTGCTTATGAAGCACATAGATGGCGGTCTGCTGCTGGGCAGCCTGTTTGGCCAGAGCCAAGACGGCATTCTCGTAGCCACGATTCTCCGGGGACTTAATGAAGATCACACGGACATTCTTCTTAACGCTGGCCAGAGCTCTTTGAAGGCCCTCGCGATCCTCAAAGTCGGCATCGTTGGCATAGAAGCTGTAGAACTCCTTGGTCACCGACGACTGGGGAGCGGCACTGTAGCTCACTGGTCCCGCAAGACCTGCACTTATGGATCCTCCTCCAATACTGGTGGCGCCTCCCTGTCCGTAATTATATCCGGACAAACTACCGGCCGTTGCCGCCGCCACAATGCTTAGAATAATAAGAGCACGCATATTGGGACCTGTCGTCTGTTGTCTGTTGCCCACAAAGTGTTCTAGGGGAATGAATAATATGGAAGTCATTATCTAGCTTTTATACCGCCAACGCGGCGGCGTTTAAAATTAGACTAGAAAATCTAGTCAATTGAGCCGTCTAAGTAGTCGAAGGGGTTCCGCTGGCCGCAGACCAAGATCATCGATCTCCGCTCACCAATCGTCGTGAACTGTGAATCTTCGTGAATGGCCAGTGGCTATTGGCCATCGGGTTTTCGGAATGCTGTTAATCTGCTAACATAATTTCGCTCTTAACACATTTAACACATTGTTTTGAGCAAAAGGTAGCTTCAATCGTGCCGCCTTTTAGCTTTGATACTTTGAGATGCGATTTCGATTCGGATTCGGATGCCAAAGCCGAGTGACCAAGTCCAAGTCCGAGCTAAAAAATCCGAGTGCGAGAGTCCAGTCGTTTTCCGAAACTAAATCTATCGTGATCGTGATTCACCCATAATTGGCTTATAATTTATGCACCAAAAACAAATCTTGCAATCTTCGCTCGGCTCGATTGTTTTGTTTTATATTTTTTTGGCTTGTGAATATGTATACAGAACCGCTTATTTGTTAATGATTTCAACAAAAAAGTGATCGTCAGCTTAATAAAATTAATGATTAGATTTTGTTTTTATGGCTAATCAGGTTTGCGATTGGGCATAAATCTTCATTGTCTTCGTAAAGTGGGTCTTGCACTTGAGATTCCTTTCTAATTGTACGTGACACACACACACACACGCTGGAAGCCTCGGAAACCAGGTCATCTAACGGTTTTTTTCGGATCTCCACGACCTTGAGATGTCGTCGATGAAGAACCAGTTCCTGAGTTCGCGTCGGGAGTTGGATATTAATGCTTCCCCCCAAAAATTAATGCCAAGTGGGTGGATCTCTAATCTTGTAGACAATTAATTTGGCGGCATGCGAGTTGCTTTATGTCAGACAATTAGTCCGGCGATTTGTATGGAGAGTCTCGAACGGAATCTGAAGCGCTGGTTTAAACTCATAAAGGAAACCTGCTTTGATTTACCTTCCTTATCTCGATGTCGTCTATGCGAGATATCTCGATATTTATAGTCCGAAGGGCACTGTTTATATTTAAACTGGCCGAACGAACAAGGCGGATTTAATGCACCATTAGCTTCTATGGCCAGGCCGCAATAAAAATGCCACTCTATAAAAAAGACACATAAAGAAGAGCTTTGTTTGAGTTTTCGTTTTTAAATTTCAAATTTATTTGTGTAATTATGCATTAGTCAACAACAGTGTAACAGGAAGATGGAGTTCTTCAGTCGATATTTTTTAGCTTAAGTATTAATAGTCCAAGGGATAATCCTTTTTAGAAGCGCAGGCGACGACGGAAGACCGAAGTTGGCAGGTAGGAGTTCTCGGGGATCTGAGCCTGGGCCCTCTGGACGGGACCGGCGGAGGCGAAGTTCAGGGCGTTGGCCACACCGCCATCATGAGCCTGGCTAGAACCTCCCAGCTGATCGTACTGCGACTGGATGGCACGCTGGGCATTCTGGGCATCCTCGGGAGTCCTGTACTTCACAAAGTGAACCTCGGGCTTGTTGTTCGAGTTGCTCTTGATGGCGTTCAGCTTGTTGGCCAGATCTCCAATATCAGCCTGCTTGTTCAGCACATAGATGGCGGTATCCTGCTGGGCAGCCTGCTTGGCCAGAGCCAGGGCGGCATCCTCCAGTCCGCGGTTCTCGGGTCCCTTGATGAAGACCACACGGAGTCCCTTGTTAACGGATCCAGCCACACGCTCGAGTTCCTGGGGTTCATCGAAGTCCTGCTCGTTGGCGGTGAAGGTGAAGAATTCTTTCTCGAGTTCGGCAGAGGGAGCGGGGGCATTGTAGGAGACGGGAGCACTCAGAGCATCGCTACCTCCCAGACCACCAAGACCACTCAGACCTCCAAGACCGGAATCGATTCCTCCTCCTATGGATCCACCTCCAATGGATCCGCCTCCAATGGACCCACCTCCAATGGAACCTCCTCCAATGGAACCTCCTCCAATTGAACCTCCTCCAATAGAACCACCACTTCCTGGAGCAAAGGACAGTCCAGAGCTGGAGTGACCCACCGGCTGGTAGTTGTAGCCCAGCTTATCGGCGCAGGCGACTGCCACTAAACACATGACCTGGTAGCATTAAAATAAAAATGTTATCCTTTGGTATAATCCTTTTGAATCCTGGCGACCGCTCTCTACTTACGATAAAGGCGCGCATCTTGAGCTGATTTCGAGTAGTTCTTTTGCTTTTGGGTTGCGATTTGCTTGTGTCTCCAAGTAGGAGCAATCTTTATTATTTATACAAATCCATCTTGGAGGCTGCCTTGCCACTGATAAAGACAAAAAGATACCGCCGCGGCGGTGTCTGCGATGCACGGAGATATCTCTTTGATGACACTGTGTTTTGCCGCCTACAAAGGTTTTTGCTTCCTCGGTTTTTTCTCTAATGTGCGCTGTGGAATTTTTTGTTCGGCTGCGTTTGAATGGGCAGTTTATCTGTCGGTCGGTTATTCAAATATTTCGAGTTTCGTCCAATATTTTACAAGAATTCATATTAAACAAGAGGGAACGTTATAGTCGGATTCCCCGACTATCAGATACCCGTTACTCAGGTAAAGGGAGTGCGAGGGAGATGGAGATAGAGATAGAAAACGTTGATCACGCATAACTTTTTAACGAATGGTCCGATTTGAAAAATTTCTTCTACATTTCGATAGGTATTGATAAACACAATAAAACTGCATTTTTACTTTTCCAAAATATTAAAATTTTTAAAATCGTATATAAGCGATTGTGGGCGTTAGAGGGGGCGTGGCACCATTTTGAAATAAACTTGCGCTGCGTAGGAACTCCTAAAATCTGCATGCAAAATGCCAATCTTCTAGCTTTTATAGTTTCTGAGATCTCAGCGTTCATACAGACAGACAGACGGACAGACGGACAGACAGACGGACAGACGGACAGACGGACATGGCTAGATCGACTCGGCTAGTGATCCTGATCAAGAATATATATACTTTATGGGGTCGGAAACGCTTCCTTCTCCCTGTTACATACTTTTGCACGAATACAATATACCCTTTTACTCTACGAGTAACGGGTATAATTATTAAATTAATATGTCGCGAGCACAGCGGAATGAGCTTGTCATGCATGCAGATGGGTCATAATTAGGTATTATATTAAATAAATACAAATATTTCTCACAAATTCTTCGGCAAGGCTAAGAGCTGAAAGCTTGTTTTAATGTAGGACATCTGCACTTGGGTTTTCCGACCTGGGCGACAATCGTTTAGTCACCATAATCGTTTTCGACACATCTGTTTAGTTCTGATTTATTGCCATGATGCAAGCGCTAATTTTGGCAATCCGTCTAATGAGGTGTTTGAAATGCCGCCCCCCAGTTCATTGATTCGGTTTATTTGTTTTGCATATATTATTGTTTTATTGTGAAACTTATTTTAAAAGCGGCGAACACAATACGTTTGTATTTAATACATGGCCTTTTTTGTTTTAATAAACGCTAATAAACTTAGCCTATATTAAAAAAATGCGGAAGATTATAAATTTAATTCTCCATCCAGCACTGTGAATAAAAGGTTAGCTAATCGTCCTTTGGTACTACAATTTTTTGTCAACATTACGTCATAACGTATTTAAGGTCAAGGTCGTCAGGAAGTTAAAGTGAGGTATTATTTGCCAAAAAAGTCCTGAGGGATTAAAAATAGTCTTTAATTTAACGATCTTATTCGCTCTTTAATTTTCTTCCTGATTAGCTAAAATATTTTATAACAGGCTTTTATATCTTACAAACTATTTTAAAACTATTTTCATTTAATAACAATTTATAAACAACAAATTCTAAAATATAAAACAAAATATATTTAATGTGTTAAAAGTATTTCTTTTTTCTTTTATAAAGCCACGGTATAGAAACTTATTAAAAAACTCAGAATGTTTTTTGACTGGTACAAAACTGATAATATAGTGAAGTCCTTACAATTTTATTAATTTCATTTGCTACCCAAAAAACATTATTTCACTACCCCAAATAAAGAATACCAAAGAATAGTTAATTTTTCAAATTTTATATTATTTATCAATAGGTTTCAACAATAAGTTTTAACAAGAACAGGCCACGACATCATCACAAAGTCGTTGGAAAGTGTTTACAAACGACGACGGAAGACCGAAGTGGGCAGGTAGGAGTTCTCGGGGATCTGGGCCTGAGCCTGACGCACTGGTCCAGCGGAGGCGAAGTTCAGGGCGGAGGCCACGCCACCGTTGTGAGCCTGGGAGGATCCTCCCAGCTGATCGTACTGCGACTGGATGGCACGCTGGGCATTGGCGGCATCCTCGGGGGTCCTGTACTTGACGAAGTGAACCTCGGGCTTGTTGTTCGAGTTGCTCTTGATGGCGTTCAACTTCTGGGCAAGATCTCCGATGTCAGCCTGCTTGTTCAGCACATAGATGGCGGTCTCCTGCTGGGCAGCCTGCTTGGCCAGAGCCAGAGCGGCGTTCTCCAGGCCACGGTTCTCGGGTCCCTTGATGAAGACAACACGGAGGCCCTTGTTCACGGATCCAGCCACGCGCTCGAGTTCCTGAGGCTCATCGAAGTCCTGCTCGTTGGCAGTGAAGGTGAAGAACTCCTTCTCGAGTTCGGCAGAGGGAGCGGGGGCGTTGTAGGAGACAGGGGCACTCAAGGCATCGCCACCTCCCAGACCACCAAGACCACTCAGACCTCCAAGACCTGAATCGATGCCTCCTCCGATGGAACCACCTCCGATGGAGCCACCTCCAATGGAACCGCCTCCAATGAAGCCACCGCCAATGCTTCCTCCTCCGATAGAGCCGCCTCCAATGCTGCCTCCTCCGATGGAACCTCCGCCAATGGATCCTCCTCCAATGCTGCCACCACTTCCTGGGGCAAAGGACAGTCCAGAGCTGGAGTGGCCCACGGGCTGGTAGTTGTAGCCGAGCTTATCGGCGCAGGCGACGGCCACCAGGCACATGACCTACAGGAAACGAGGGTATATCCATTACTTCTAAGATCACTGGGAAGTCCTGGTTAAAACCACTTACGATAAAGGCGCGCATCTTGGTTGTTTTTTGGTTTGTTGAGGTTCTCTTGGTTCGGAGCACAAATTGCTTCTGCCTATGACCACGGCGGCGTTTATTATTTATACGAAGCCAAACTTCGAAGCTGGCGGCGCAGCTTCTCGAAGACAAAGCGCTGAAATGCTGCTAAATGTTTTTTCCGCCTACAAAGTAGGCAGCGAACGGCTTTTGTTCGGGCTCGCGGAGCAATTCAGCTTTGCATAAATGTTATTATAAGGAAAAGCGATAAAAATAACAAAACAAACAACATGAGCATAAAAATGCAATAACCGCTGACAAAGCCAGAAACTTAGAAGATCATCTAGATCTAAGATATACATAGCAAATTCCAGCATGAATTAACAGAATGTTTTGAATACTGCGGTGATATCAGTTAGGAATATGAATCATACGAATTTCTCGTTATATGTTTTGAATCATGCTGAGACGATTCGAATCGTTTTAAAGGATTAGAGCCCTGCATGCATCAACAGTATGTTTCGATATCAGTGAGTAGTTTTTATAAAGAAATACAAATCACGAGAATCCCTTGTATCAATTGATATGTCTTTCAAATAATTTAAAGATGATTTGAATTTTTTAAAAGGAGTTATAATTAATTAGTGAAAAAAAGTAGTGATATATTAATGAGGTTTGCTCACATTAATTGAGAAAAAATATTTGATCTTCTCCTGAAGAATTCGCTTTTGTATTTAAAAGACAAAGTTTTTGGTTTATATCGATTTTCGTTTTTCTATTTATTCAATTTAATTTCTACAACACATTTAACAACTGTCAGTTACGTTTTTGGTCCTTAACGGATGCGCAGGCGACGCAGGATGTTGGCGGGCAGGTAGGAGTTGCTCGTGGCGGCGGCAGGAGGAGAGTAGTTCGAGCCCTGGGCGCGAACGGGGGCAGCTCCCTGGGAGGCGAAGTTGATGGCATTGGCCACGCCGCCGTTGAAGGACTGGCTGGATCCTCCCAGGTTGTCGTACTGCGACTGGATGGCGCGCTGGGCGTTCTGGGCATCCTCGGGAGTCCTGTACTTGACGAAGTGCACCTCTGGGCGCTGGTTGGCATTCTGGCGGGCGGCATTGAACTTGTTGGCCAGATCTCCGATGTCGGTCTGCTTGTTCAGCACGTAGATGGCGGTCCTCTGCTCGGCAGCCTGCTTGGCCAGAGCCAGAGCAGCGTTCTCCAGGCCACGGTTCTCGGGTCCCTTGATGAACACAACACGCAGTCCCTTGTTCACGGAACCGGCAATTCTCTGGGCGGCCAAAGGATCCTCGAACTGACTCTCATCGGCCTCGAAGGTGTAGTACTCCTTGTTCAGCTCGCTGGACACCGAGTAGTCCGGGCTGCTGGCGGCTCCGCTGTAGGAATCACCACCAGAGTAGCTGGGAATGTTATCGGAGGCCGATCCCGAGGATCCCGCTCCATAGTTGTACTGGGCACAGGCGGCACCAATCAGGCAGAAGGCGATGAGGAAACGCATGGTTGAAATGTTTAGATTTTTCTAAGCTGGGTGTGCTGTGAAGGCAAAGGCCAAGACTGAATCCTGATAGTTAGGCGAGCCGCTTTTATACCCATTCCGGCGTAGTTAGAACCGCCTTAGAACCCATAATCGACACCATTCCCGTCGGGTTGCTCCATAACTCAACTAGTTTTTTATGCAAAGCGGTGCGCTTATGAAATGATTATGCAAAACTATCCTAACATTCTCTCAGTCGGCGACCCCAGACTTTCTGCCCAATTGCAAATAGCTTAAACTCTCAACCGGTTCGCTTGATGGCGCCGCCGTCTATTCTTAACCGGGCTAAAAACTGCCCGGATTTTGATTTTGGGGGAAAATGCTGCAAAACTATCGAAAAACCCGTTTCGAAAAATCAAAAACAGTAAGAGCCCGGCTATAAATGTTCTGACGGTCGTTAAAGTCGAACACAATGTGATGCATTCTTGGAGTTCCGCCTACGAATCGATAAAAGCTTAATCTATGCAAACTCTTATGCTGATTCCATTGATAGTTTATGATTTCTATTGTCGTTCTCTGTTTGTCGCCTCTTCGCCATCGAAAGTGGGTCTAGAATTTCAAGCAACTTTTTAGTTTGGGGTTCAATGTCAAGAAGAATGTCGGAAGATTACTTTGAACTCTCCGTTGGGGGAACCTGTTTAAAATAGCCTGGGAATTCCACGCAAATCCCCTATATAAGCGCCAGAAACGTCCGATTGCGTCAGTATGAAATGATCTCCTGATGGAGGTATCAAAGCTATAAAAATTAGACTATGATCTCTGGAAAAAGTTCATAGTCCTTTTCCTTTTCACGAAAAGGAAAAAATATTTAATGTTTGCAATGAAACAGGGTTATTTTCGTTAAAAACCAAGCAAAACAATATTAAATTCTGTGACATTTTGAGCAGATGAAACTGAACGTTCTTTTAATGTATCACATTAATTCAAAGTGTTTAATAAAGACTTCAAAGTTATTTTTATACTCTTTCTTATAAAGTCGATAGCAATAAGTAAAATAGAATACTATAGAAAAGCAATTGAGGATAGTTCAAATTTTTTATTTGAACAACTATTTCCATTTATCCGTGCAGAATATTGTGATTAACCCCTTATGTCAAACACATCAATTTTTTCAATTTAAAATAGGTGCCCTCGCTTAAGTGAAGACTGTTTTAGATAGCTATTAGCCTATGCAAATTATCCACATCACTTCCAGTTTAATTTAAAAATAAATAATTATGTGTAAAATTTTAGCATTTTTTATAAGTCTTAAAAAAAATTGAGGTTCTAAGTAGGAATGCTAATCGGTAGGAAATTTTATTCAAGTTCAACGCGGAATGACATTCCTTATTCGGACAATTTTTTGCTTTCTTTCGGAAGAAATTTTGATTTTTCCACTGAAAAAATGAAATTGAAATTGATTTTAAATATTTTAGAATTGGGTAAAAAGTGTATATTAAATTTTCATTCCATTGCAGTTAATTATCCTTATTCTTCGGTGACTTATAAATCTCTTCGGTTGGCCCGCAATGTACACCAAATCTCTTCGGTTGAGCCGCAATTTACACAATCTGTACATTAGAATTCGGACTAAAAGAGCCGGGAATGACTAAAAATAAAACTAAGTTCGGATTACTCTTAAGTTTTCGTTTTATTTATAGAATAAAGCAACATGATAACTAGGCAACAAATCAAACAACTGGCTTTTCTGTCGCTTAGAGACGGAAGCGCCGGAAGATGCTGGCGGGCAGGTAGCTGGCTCCTGGAGCACTGGCAGCCACGCTCTCGCGAGGAGCCGGCTGGGAGGCAAAGTTCAGGGTGGAGGCGACACCACCGTTCTGCGACTGGGAAGATCCTCCCAACTGGTCGTACTGTCCCTGGATGGCACGCTGGGCATTCTGGGCATCCTCCTGGGTCCTGTACTTCACGAAGTGCACCTCGGGCTTGTTGTTGTTGTTGTTGCGAATGGCATTCAGCTTGTTGGCCAGATCTCCAATATCAGCCTGCTTGTTCAGCACATAGATAGCGGTCTCCTGCTGGGCAGCTTGCTTGGCCAGAGCCAGAGCAGCATCCTCCAGTCCGCGGTTCTCGGGTCCCTTGATGAACACAACACGGAGAGCCTTGTTAACGGCATTGGCCACCTGATCGGAGGCAGCGGGATCGTAGAAGTCACCCTCGTCGGCGGTGTAGGTGAAGAACTCCTTCTCCAGTTGAGCCTGTGGGGCAGCGTAGTTGGGAGCAGCAGCGGACTGGGATCCCTCCAGGGAGTCGGCAATGGAAGAGGGTCCGGCGGAGAAGGATGGAGCCGAGAAGGCAGGGGCATCACTGCTGGCCGCTCCCGATGGCTGGAAGCTCAGTCCCGATGGGGAGTGGGCCACCGGCTGGTAGTTGTAGCCCAGTTTGTCGGCCGTGGCTAAAGCAACGAAGCAAAGGACGAGGAAGGAACGCATTTTGATTGTTTAGATTGCTCAGATGATTGGTAACTGACTTATCTGGCCACAATCTCAGCTTTTATAGGTGCAAGATTCAGTTCTTCGGCGGCTGCATTATGCCTTTTGCGATATGCGCTGATATGAATTATGAAGAGTTCAAATTTGCCTTAAAAATGCATAAATAAGAGATTAAAATGCGGTTTCTTTATAATATATTTTTATGATTCGTCACACTGCTGCCGCTGCTGCGGTTGCAAATATTTCTGCACATAAAATCGGAAAAATGCTAATTAGCAGTTAGCCAGAATTGGCCAGTTTAAAGTTTTTGGTTGGCTTTAAAGCGGGATTGCCAAATGAGATGGCGCCAAGTAATTTATTAAGAGACCAATTATCGAATTATCTGATTCGGCGCTGACAAGGCGAAGCAGTGCAGTGTTGTTAATTAGTGACCAGCCTAAACAATCAATATGAAATAGTAGGAAAAACAAAAAAAAGATGGCGGCTATATTTAGCGATGAGTCCGGTTCGCCAGCTCTTCACTTCCGGCGGATGGAAGGTCGCCTCCACCCGCAACATTTGCATAAAGCTGAGGAAAAAAAGCATAGACGACAAAACAAAGCCGCTGAATAAGGCAATAATAATTTGGCGAATCGTTAAAATATTTATTTTTGGCAGCAGTAACGCGACTAGGCGCGCCATTTGCCTCATTTGCATGTGAAACGGCCTGTCAAACGATTCGGGCGACACTTCTCATCATCCCGTCCAAAAATTCCGAGCCAGATTTTCAGACCCACAACCGTAACCATGTGAAACGTAACCATGCATCCACCTAAATTGCCCCAAATGGGGTTTACGATGCTCTGTCCGTCGATTTTATAGCCAGATTTTTATTGATTTCAACGATAAAGCTACATGAAAATACCGAAATTGGCAAGGTTGGTCCACGCCGCACCGGGCCAAAAAGAATACGCGAATTATTGATTAAGGCAGCACATATTGAATTTAATATGAGTTTTATGGCGCCAGCTAGAAACATGGCTCATAATATCCATACACCCAAGCCGAAGCTCTTCCTTCCGAGCCACAAAGCTGACCTCACGTTGCAGCTTGCATATTTTAGCGGGGTGGCACTAGATCTAGGTGGTTTATGGATTTTTGGCCCCTAATTAGACCGCTTTATGCATAGCCTGCGGCTGCCATCTGCATAAAAGCCAAAGAACCATCAGATAGGAGTATCAAATCCCGCCACCAACTCATCCAGTCAACATGCGTCAATTCTCAGTGGTTCTTTGCCTGTGCCTGGCCGCTTTGGCCTCGGCCGACAAACTGGGCTATAACTATCAGCCGGTGGCCCACTCTCCATCGGGATTGAGTTTCCAGCCATCGGGAGCGGCCAGCAGTGATGCCCCTGCCTTCTCGGCTCCATCCTTCTCCGCCGGACCCTCTTCCATTGCCGATTCCCTGGAGGGATCCCAGTCCGCTGCTGCTCCCAACTACGCTGCCCCACAGGCCCAACTGGAGAAGGAGTTCTTCACCTACACCGCCGACGAGGGTGATTTCTACGATCCCGCTGCCTCCGATCAGGTGGCCAATGCCGTGAACAAGGGACTCCGTGTGGTCTTCATCAAGGGACCCGAGAACCGCGGATTGGAGGATGCCGCCCTGGCTCTGGCCAAGCAGGCTGCCCAGCAGGAGACCGCCATCTATGTGCTGAACAAGCAGGCTGATATTGGAGATCTGGCCAACAAGCTGAATGCCATTCGCAACAACAACAACAACAAGCCCGAGGTGCACTTCGTGAAGTACAGGACCCAGGAGGATGCCCAGAATGCCCAGCGTGCCATCCAGGGACAGTACGACCAGTTGGGAGGCTCCTCTCAGGCTCAAGATGGTGGCGTGGCCTCTACCCTGAACTTCGCTTCCCAGCCCGCTCCTGCTCAGGTGCAGGCTGCCAGCAGCCAGGCTCCCGCCCAATTCCTGCCGGAGGCCACCGCCCCCATCTCATCGTATGTGCCACCTGCCACTCCGGGAAGCTCCTACCTGCCCGCCAACATTCTGCGCCGCCTGAGGTTCTAAGCCCTCCGAGAATTCCTTTGTTATTGCTGAGTTTTTAAGACGAAATAAATTTGTTTGTTAATGTAAATTGTCAATTTGACTGGCGGATCTTCTTTGGGTTTCAAATTCCTATGCTCGGAATTTTCGCATTCAAAACGGGTTCGCCTGAAGTCCGCTTTGAGTCCGTCCAACTAAGCTGTTTGTGAAAATTGCAAATGAGCGGAAACCTAAGATGTTTTCTCTGCCCTGCCCGTCGTCGTCGTTGTATGTTGTTGTATGATAATAATCGTCTGCGTGATAATCAGTACAATCTGTATAATCTGGTGTATAACATATGGCTTATCGGCTATCTACTGGCTACTTGGCTGCCCAAACCCACGCACTTCGCGGTTATAAAATTGAGTTGGCACCTTTGGCTTGACAAATTGCACGAGACACTCGGACATTGGTCATCAGAAATCGTTTGACAATGGACTCGAGGCAATTTAAAATTATTAAGCTGGGAAATTAGCCCAAAAAGGGCTGAAGGGCCGTCTTACTTTCAATCAAAGCCCCGAAACTCGATTTGCATAACAAAATGGGCGAACAAAAGAATGTGGCTACTGCATAGTCGGGCAATTTGGAGCTTGAGACCGCAGCCCTTTGTCGCCCCTGAATTTGCATAAAAATTTTGTGTGTGTTGTCCGCCAAGCTGCAAGTTCATCAAATTTTAATCAACGCCGCCGCCAACGCCGCAGCTTCTGACCAAAAATTAAAAACAACCGAAAAATATACAACAAATCTGAAGTGGAAATAGAAAAACAGCGAAACAGAAAAACTGAAAAACAGGTTAGAGACGCCAAAAGACAATGGTGAACCTTATCGCGATCTCTGTTCTGATTGACCAGGCCCATATATAAATGGCCCGGCGGCTCAACTCGACATCATTCTGACTTCCGACTTCGACTTCAGAGCTCCAAGTAGAACCTTCAACTCAGCCAAGATGCGCGCCTTCATCGTCCTGTGCCTCGTGGCCATCGCCTCCGCCGACAAGCTGGGCTACAACTACAAGCCAGTGGGCCACTCCAGCTCCGGACTGTCCTTTGCTCCTGGCAGTGGATCGTTGGGAGGCCTAGGAGGTGGATCTGGATCCTTGGGAGGCCTGGGATCCCTGGGAGGCGGCAGTGGCTCCCTGGGAAGCCTGGGAGGTGGATCTGGCTCTGGCCTGGGATCCTTGGGAGGCGGCAGCAACTTCGGCAGCCTGGACAGCGGTCTGGGTGGTGGCTCCTTCGACCTGGGATCCTCTGGACTGGGCTCCTCCGGACTGGGATCCTCTGGACTGGGATCCTCCTTGGGCTCCGCTGGTCTGAGTGCCCCCGTCTCCTACAACGCCCCCGCTCCCTCGGCCGAACTCGAGAAGGAGTTCTTCACCTTCACCGCCAACGAGGAGGACTTCGATGAGCCCCAGGCTTTGGAACGCGTTGCCAGCTCCGTGAACAAGGGACTGCGTGTTGTCTTCATCAAGGGACCCGAGAACCGTGGCCTGGAGAACGCCGCTCTGGCTCTGGCCAAGCAGGCTGCCCAGCAGGAGACCGCCATCTACGTGCTGAACAAGCAGGCCGATATCGGAGATCTTGCCCAGAAGTTGAACGCCATCCGCAGCAACTCGAACAACAAGCCCGAGGTGCACTTCGTCAAGTACAGGACCCCCGAGGATGCCGCCAATGCCCAGCGTGCCATCCAGTCGCAGTACGATCAGCTGGGAGGATCCTCTCAGGCCATCAACGGTGGCGTTGCCAATGCCCTGAACTTCGCCTCCGCTGGACCAGTGCGTCAGGCTCAGGCCCAGATCCCCGAGAACTCCTACCTGCCCTCCTCCGTCCTCCGTCGCCTGCGTTTCCGCAAGTAAGATGTGGGTTACAGGATGTGCCATGTAGCTTCTAGCTGCTCCAATTGTTGACTTTTTGTGTTATCTATTGATTTGTCGAACGAACCCCTCAAATACAATTTTTTCTTTATTTTAATCACTATGTTTTTTGCTTTTTCTATCCTGTGGCTGTGGGAACTGGGCTAACCACAGAGTTGTCAACAGTGTCGAATTGGAAATTTTTGATGGCCAAATGAGAAATTGCCCAGCTCGGCGTTTATTACATTCCCCGAGTGGCCATAAAAATTCCAAAGCGATGGCGCCAAAAGTGGAATACAAGTGGAAATCAATACAAGAAATTTACATTTATTTTTCGTGGGGGGAATGCCATTCCCATTCCCCTGAAAAACAATCGACGAACTTTTTTTTTTATCATAATTAAAATGTTAATCTGCGTGAAGTAAAAGGTTAGACAAACTATTAGTGCTCAAATTTATGGCAACTGCAAGACGGAACCGAACGACGGCACACGAAAATACATAATGTATGAGTGATAACAGAGTTGGCCGGATGAATGGCCAATAACAAAGAGCCAAAGTGGTCGAAAGACAGCTCTTTTCAAGAGCACCCACTATGTGGGAGCATTAGCATAAGCAGAAGAGTCGAAGTTTGTTTAGAAAAATCATAAAAAATTATGCTCACGAATAAGCCAAGATGATTAAGCAGAAAACAGCGAAGAAGCCAAAGTTAATAGATAACAGCGGTGACAAAAAGCGAATGGGGAATGGGAGGGAGCGATGGGCAAAAAAAATCAAAGACAACCAATTAAAAAACCAAATGATAGGGGGGTAAAAAAAAAGAAAAAGAGTTGCAAACTGCAGTGATTTCGCATAAAAGTCGTGGGCGTCGAGGAGTTCAACATACTTGCCTTCGATCCAGCAAACCAAGCGGAAATATCCACCTACACAGCAAAAAAATATCAACAAGATGCGCGTCCTTATTGTGAGTATATAACAAAGGAATCCTGAAGAAGAATAAAGGATATCTGATGATCAAAGGACAACAAATTTTTGTGTTGCACACTTTTTGAATACCACCTTCCCTTTCACGTTTTACGCTTGCGACGATCCAAAACTAATCCTTTAATTTTTCCCTTATTTTTAGGCTCTTTGCCTTGTTGCTGCCGTGAGTGCCAGGAGTGGCTACAACTACCAGCCTGCTGCCTCGGCGCCCATTGCCACCTCCTTTGCTCCTTCCGGCTCCAGTTACTCCGCCCCCGCGGTGGCTGCTAGCCAGGATGCCCCCGCCGAGACCTATGTGCCAGTGGCCGCTCCCGAAGCTGCTCCCTCCGCTCCAGTGGCCACCAGCTATGCTGCTCCTGTGGCCGAGCTGCAGAAGGAGTTCTTCACCTTCACCGCCGACGAGAGCGACTTCAACGAACCAGCTGGCTCCGAGCAGGTTTCCGGCTCCTTGAACAAGGCTCTCCGTGTGATCTTCATCAAGGGACCCGAGAATACTGGTCTGGAGAACGCTGCCGTGGCTCTGGCCAAGCAGGCTGGACAGCAGGAGACCGCCATCTATGTGCTGAACAAGCAGGCTGATATCGGTGATCTGAGCAACAAGTTGAATGCCATTCGCAACAACAACAACAACAAGCCAGAGGTTCACTTCGTGAAGTACAGGACCAACCAGGATGCCGTGAATGCCCAGCAGGCCATCCAGTCGCAGTACGATCAGCTGGGAGGATCCTCGACCATCCAGAACGGAGGAGTTGCTCCCGTCCTGAACTTTGCCTCCCAGCCTGCCGTCCAGCAGGTGGCCGCTCCCTCGGCTCCTGGCAGCTCCTACCTGCCCGCTTCGGTCCTCCGTTTCCGCCAGTAGAGTCCCCAAATCTCAGACCCCCAGACTGACCAATCCATGATCTAAACCATCAAACGATTCCTACGCACTCGCACTGCGACTAACATGTTGCCTAGTTTGTAAATCTTTCGAATTTCGAGATGTCTCAATAATTAAATATTTTGTAATAGAAAAAAAAACAGTTTTGTAATATCTCTGCGGTGGGATTTTGCGAATTTTGCTCGGCGACATTGAACTAATTTGCCCTATAAGGTGGGTGGCTTATCCCCAATTTGGTGATCTTCATTTGACCACTTTTTGGGTCAAAGAAAAAATTATAAAATGCTTTGTCCACTGGCGATTGTGTGACAAATGTTTTTTGCTCTTCGCCGAGGTTATATCATGCTGGGAATAGTGGTGAGTTTAAAAGTCTGGAAATTAGCCAGGTTGAAAGCTAATCAAAGTCTGTTCCAGTTTTTTAGTTTATTGGCTGGCTGTTCCGCCGAATTGGGCTACCAGTACCAGCAGAATAGTTATGGCTCGGCTGTAAATAGCTATGGCAACGAAGCTGCTTTGCCGGAGGAAAGGTATCCCAATTCAGCGGCTGGTAATCACTACCAGGAGAATGCCGACTTCCACAAGCATTTCTATGCCTTCGAGGCTCCCTATGATTCGGGGGAGGAGGCGAATCTGGTGGAATCCAAGCTATCATCCCTTGGCCAGAAGAACCTCCAGGTGGTGTTTATAAAGGCGCCCGAAAACAAGGCTGTTGTGGGTGCTCTGAGTGCCTTGGCCAAGCAAACCAGCGAGGATAAGACGGCCATCTATGTGCTGAACAAGCAAACAGATGCCAATGAACTGGCCAGCGAAATAAGCGCCTTAAAATCTCAACGTAAGCACAAACCGCAAGTTCATTTTGTGAAATACCGAACGGAGGAGGAGGCTGCTCAGGCCCAACAATATATTCAGGCGCAGTATGGCGGAGGATCTGCGATTGCCCAGGCTGCACAGGCCTCATCCTTGGGCTATTACCCCGAGCAGCAGCCGCAGTACGAGCAGGACTCTCATCCCGGGGAGTATCCTTCCAACCAACAGGGTTACCCACACTCCCCACAACAGTCGGCGTATCAACCTCAGTCGGGTTATTTGCCACCTTTGCCCAGTTACTCATCCTTTTCGCAGGGCTACAATGCGGCAGGATCTTCGGCGGGAGCCTCTAGCATAGGTCAGATTGATCTGCCGCCCGTGCCAGAAGCTCAACAGGATCTATCGGCCAGCTTTAATGATAACCAAGTGGACTATCGCTCTGCCAGATCAAGGCGTTTTGATTTTCGGGCCAACGAGCGTCACAGATCGGGAAGTCGCATGGTATTTCCCTCTGCCAATCCGGGAAAACGCCTGAGGCTCTAAGTAATACACTTCTTTAACAAATTAAGACATTAAATTAGTGCCATAAGACTGCCCCAAGGGGTAACTAGTTATAGCTGCAAATAAAGCCCAAGATCTATCAATGAATATATCGCCACCTGTGTTTTTTTCTTCTTTAGCTGAAGTTGTTAATTTCGGTAAGCTGCTTATCACAGATTTTAGCCTAGGCTTGGAAAAAAAATAAGCTGAAGAGAGACCCGCAAAAAAAAACATCAAAATGACGTGTAAATTAACAAATCAGTAGGTAGCCATAAAATGTCGGCCGTAAAAATACCTGGCCGAGTGAAAGTAGAGCTGCGGGGGAGGTGTAAGCCGCAGGGCCAATATCTCTGTGCACTGAGAAAAAATATGGAGTAATGAATTACATATTGAATTTATAAATTTTTAAGTATTATTATTTGAATGAAATACAAAATAAATACACTAAAACATATTAAAACGCATAATTTAATATGAAAATATTTGAATAAAGGTATACAATATTTTTAAACATAAATAATATTATTTTACTATTTTTTTAATTTAATACAAAATTCATTTCCTATTAAAAATATAAAAAATAGCTAAAATTTTTAAATGTTTCCATGTCAATAATTTGATTATGAAATATTTAGATGTGCTATGTTTTTTTATAAGTGCAGTGGTAGTCAAAACAAATAGCTTCGACTATGACAGGCGACAACAATGGGGCCCCAAATGGAGCATACATATATGAAAATATTTTATAACTAATTCAAATTGGGAGCTCATTTGTAAATTTTATGCGAATTAAATTCAAGTTCAAGCACAGGCACAACGGGTCAAACGCACAACCACTCTTCTGTGTGTTTCATATGGAGTTTGTCTTTTGTTTTGGGGTCTGTGGTCTGTAGTCCGTAGTCTAGGGTCTTGCAAATCCCCTGATAAAATTTGCATTTCAAAATTGAACGACATTAACATGGATAATCGGAGCAGCAGCAGAAGCAGCAGGCAAACAAATATACAAAACCAGAGCAAACGTTTGCAGAAATCTTTTATATAGAAAAATAGAAAAAAATACAAAATGCAAAAAAGCGAAATAAAATAAAATATAATCATAACGAGAGACGCGGCGGCCGAGAAGTCAGCTTACTTTCGAACATCTATTTGTTTGTCGTATATAAGGATGGTTTTGTTGCTGGGACTGGATTATAACCGAGCTGGGCTTCGAGCGGTAAAAATGGCAAAAAATCAGCCGGTGCGGAATATCACAGCCATGTTGTCCCTGTTGGTAGGTTAAAAGCCAGTTAAATACTCTTAACTGGAGGTTAATTAAGTTAATTTCTTATAGTTACTCTGGTTGTTTGTTGGACTTACCCTTGGTTTGGGAGATGTTTACCTGCCAGCTGGAAATGAGTTTGTAAGTGGAGGAAAATTGGCCACGGAGTACTTTACCTATGCAGCTCCACCGGAGGATCAGGAGGATCAGACTCCTTGGCAATCGGCCAGGCAATTGGCCCAAATAATCTCCCCACCGCAACAGGTGGTGTTTATACGGACGCCAGAGACGAACGTATTTTCCCTGACTGCCAAACAGCTGGCGGTTAATAATCCACTGGACATCTTTGTGCTCCACCGGCAAGCGGATGCAGATGCTCTGGCCAAGCAGCAGGCTTTGATTCAACAGCAAGTCACCGAGAAACCCTCGGTGCACTTCGTGAAATACAGAACTCCAGCGGATGTCACCAGAGCTCTGAGTGCCTTGAGAAGTGATTATGATAGACTACCCGGCAATAGTATCATCCATGCTGTGGAAAAAGCCGAAGTTCTTCAGCTTAAACCACAAACAACTGAGACACCTGTGATCTTTATGATCCGGCCCAAAGATAGTCAAGATTACGAGACACATGAACAGGCCAGCGAATTGGAAACTGCCAAATTGCAGGCTTTATTCCGGGAATATCTGCCACCGGGAAAGAGACGTTAGTTTATCTAATACCCATAGGCTAACTGCCAAAGATTGTTTAAAGGTTAATTAAATTAATTGTTAATTAGTTAAAGTCAATTGAACTGTTCCTGTATAATAAATTGATAAATATATCCACTAGTTGGTGGTAAACTTTTCGGTTATTGATTATGCAGTCTTATTTTTTTCGAATTAATATTCTAAATTGTGGTATTCATTTTTTAGTAGCTTTATTTCACTCTCTTTGTTTAAATTGCTCTTTAATTTAAGTCAGTTTTTTCAGAAAGCCTAGCAATAACAAAACCTTTTCCCTGCGGGTTAAAGCAATCGATAGCAAGCAGTTAAATCATTATAACAAATGACCAGTGTTGATGGCAGACCTATTTTAAAATAATTAGTTCGATTAATGTTGTTAAGAAATTAATTATTAATAATATCTGAATGTCAACTTAATAATGGCATTTTTCCCAGAAATTTATAGAGTGGGCTGCTCATAAATAACTCAAAGTACTTGGAATGCCGGCTTCTTGTAAACAAATTTAATTTAAATTTCAATCAAAAAACATTTAGTTGTTATGGCGAAGGTGGCTGTTTATCTATAGGCTTGCTATTATGAATAATTAATTACTCAGCCCGAAGAGCGTAACATTTTACTTCTGAGTTGGCTGCGTGTCCCCCCAGCCACACACTTTGTGGATTATCTTCAAAGTATCTCTTAGATAATCATTAAGGTGTTGGTAACCGACTCCAGCCGCCCAGCGAATGTTTTCTTAAGCAAATGTCGCCGGAAAACTTTTTAATGAGCTGCGTTGGGAGTTCCACCCACCAGTCGCCAGTCTCCAGACTCTAGCCTCCTCCATCCAGGAATCTTTAGCCCTGTCCCTTCGAGCAGGCAGAATTTCACGACAGGCGGTACTTTAAGAATGTTTCAACTAAATTACGCCACTATGAAGGAGGCAGAGACAGGGACATGGACACGGACACTGAGGCTGACATCATTTCGCTTTGCAAATTGTTTTAGTGTCAAAGGTCAAACACACACTTACAACCCAGTTGCCAGTGTGCCAGCGCCATATGACACGGCGAAGTGCAGTTGTAAAAAGGCACCTCCCTACCCACCATATACACTAGTGCAAATCTGTTGAGCAAGTTTTAGTTTAAGCATTTTTGAGCAACATGAGATCCTGGGATCCTGCGGAGGACGAGCTTCGCTCGTTAGCGGTGCCTGCCAAAAAACTTTGCCAGTCACGTCAAAGCTGCCGCTCCAACATTCCATTCCATCCGGCACCTCCCCCTAAAAAAAAAACCCAACCGTTTTTTTATTTCGCGGTATCTTCAAACTAGCGCTTTAATCCTGAATCCTGGCCGGAGGCAGAGCTCATGACTTGCTGCAATTTCGGGACAGGTGTGTCCAAGGTCCAAGTCTCAGCTCCCAGGGATTCCATCCACCATCAACCAGCTGTAGCAGCTGCCAAGTTTGCGTGTTTTCCAATCTTTTCTTCGTTTTCGGGGGCTCTTGGCTTGTTTGGCCTGCCATTTCCAAATTAGGCGCACTTTTGGCGCAGCTGACTTTGCTTTTGCTGGCCCAACCGACTTTGGTAAGAGTTTTGCTATGCAGCCGGGTAGGCTAATAGCCAGCATGAGTGGCCAAATGCTGGGTGGAGTCATCATCTTCAGGGCTAATCCGAGAAAAAACTGCCAAGGGGAATCCCCTACTTTGAGTACGGAAAAAAACAGATCATTTAAAAGGTGTTAATTACTCAGAATATTGAATGTCAGTAATTTTTTAATAATATTAAAATATATATGTTAATAAAAAATATTGAAATGTACATTTAATTATATTAAAATGCATTAACAAAATAATAATATAAATAAGTAATAAAAACAAACAACAAAAATGTATTGCAAATGTTTCCAAAAATATTTACAACATTTTTTTGTGGCCTAATCCAGCTTTTATTTATCTTAAGAACTTCAGATCATATTGAGACCAGTTTAAATAATTTCCAAAGAAAATTGTAATTAAGAATTTCTTTGTGATACATATTTTTTGACAACCCATCGACCCACACAGCTGCTATGCCTCAATTTAAATTCTTATTTCGCCTTGGCCATCAAACGACGCCGAAAAAGTTTAAATTAGTTAAAGAACTTCATTAACTGGAGCGTCGAAAAAGATTGACGTTTTGTGACCCCGTGCCCAAGTGAAAAGCGCAAGTCGGTGGAAAATTATGAAAATTATAATTACCGGATTAAGCTGGGCTGGTGGCCAGCAAACTGAAAGCAGAAAACCGAAAACCGGAGCACCGAAAACTGGCAGCCAACTGGCAGCAGCCAGAAGATATTATCGCCAAAGCCAAAGCCAGTAGCTGTTTATTTTCCGAGCATTTCAACACAGTGGCTGCCTCCCTCCTCCTCGGCAGCAGCAACTCATCCATCCAGATGGGGTTTTTTATGGCCTGTCGCAGCCAACACAAATCAATTAGATAATGTGGCATCGGCAGCAGCAGCATTTGCAATCGCAGTCCCTGATATTTAGTCGCCATGCATATTTATAACCTATAACCCGAGTCGCCGAGTGCATTTAAATCAAAAGGCAAGACAAACGATCGTGGACTAGCGATAGGCCTAGCGAAGATCGGGGAATACGCTTGCATATTTAAGTGAAACGGCGGGGCATTTTAATGACTATCGAAAAGCATCGCATCGAAATCAAATCAAGCAAGGTCGTTCCTAAAAAACAACAGTGGATCTCTTTCTCTCAGTTGGCTAAAATATTTCGGGGGGCTTTTTCGTGGGAGGGGTGAATGCAGTGCTATAAAAGCCAGATGAGGCTCAACTTCCAGCATCAGTTCCCCCTGTCAGCTCCAATTGTACAGTCTACAGCTACCAGTCATCATGCGCGCTTTTATCGTAAGTCTATCAGGGATTTTCATTTCGATTCAGGATAATTCATCTTATATATTTTCCTTATCTCTTAGCTCCTCTGCTGCCTCTTTGCTGCCAGCTGCAGTGCCGATAAGCTGGGCTACAACTACCAACCGGTGGCCCATGCCGATGAGGGTCTGTCCTTCTTGCCCGGATCTGGTCAGGTGATTGGAGCTGAACTTCCCCAGCAGCTGCTGCAACCGGTGCAAAGTGGTGAGGCCGTGCTCTCTCAGCCCATTGAGGCTCCCCTTTTGGCACCTGTGGCTCCTCAAATAGCTCCTCTGGTCGAGGAGTTCCAGAAGGAGTTCTACAGCTATGCCGCCCCCGAGGAGCAGTTCGATGAGGGCGCCAGCAACCAACAGATTGCCAACTCTCTGAAGAAGAACCTCCGCGTGGTCTTCATCCGTGCACCCGAAAATCAGGGCTTCGAACAGGCTGCCCTCCAGTTGGCCAAGCAGTCGGCCCAGCAGGAGACCGCCATCTATGTGCTGACCAAGCAGTCGGATGTGTCCAACCTGGCCAAGCAGCTGAATGCCCTGAAGTCGAGCTCCACCAACAAGCCGGAGGTGCACTTCGTCAAGTACAGGACTCCCGAGGATGCCCAGAACGCCCAGCTGGCCATCCAGAATCAGTACAACCAGCTGCCTGGAGTTTCGCGCATCTCCAACGAGGGTCGTGCTCCAGTCCTGAACTTTGCCTCATCCTCTCCAGTTGCTCAGCAGCAGGTTGCTGCTCCTGCAATCCCCGCCACCCAGGCTGCTCCAGTGGCTGCTCCCAGCTCCGAGTATCTGCCCGCCAATGTGCTGGCTGGCCAGGATTATCTGCCACCCACTCTGCGTCGCTTCCGTGTCAAGTAAGGAGTCCTGCTGAAGTGAAAGTCCCTAAAACGGTAACGTTTCCTAAACCAATCGCATCGAAAAAAAACAACACCCATTAGCTTTTAAGTATCCATGTAGAGGAATAAAATTTGCTTTTGCTGACAAATTTCCAATGTGAACTGTGTGTGTGTGGGAGTGGAAAACTCATTTGGCAGCCTAATTGCAGGATTCGGCCATTTCCATGCTGCGGAACCGAACCTTTCCGTTCGGCGAGAGTTTCCCTTTCACGTTTTCGCCCGGCAGAAATCCCGGCATCTGCCTGCGCATTCGTGCGTTGTCCTTTCACATAAAATCCCTGAAATAATAGCCTGGATAAAGCGGCTGGCATGTCATAAAGTCCAGCAACAAGTTGAGCCACCCATCGCCCACCCACTCATATGGCCGCAGGGCAAGTGAAACGAAACCGCACCCGTTTTCAACACTCATGGAATCCCCGGTTACCCGTGTCCCCCGGCATATGCACAATGGTTTTATCCCATCCGCCATTTGTAATTGGAGTTATTAGAATCGAAATGAAGTGGTTGCACAATGGCCCGGCCTGTTCAGGAACCAGGGTTCTGGTCCACTCTCTGCTAACCAGCCTAGAACGGTTGCCTTTCAGTGATGGGAAAACTAGATGGAGGTACCAGAAGGCCATCAAATAGTACAAAAATGGGCAAGAAAAGTTGTAAACTAACTAGGTATTTTTTTAAACATAAACAATAACAAATCAAACATTAATAAAACAAAACATTTCTAGGGTATAATAATATTTATTTAACAAAAACTTAAAAGCTTAGAAAAAATTAGATTTCTGTTGAAAAATGCCCCATTATATATTTCTCCAACGAATTGATGATTATGAAACGGAAATATCTATATTTCTAAATCCTTTAAAAATATATAATTTAACAATGTGCCCAAAGTATGCAATGAAACAAATTATGTCGACTGTTGTAATAAATCCATTAAATTTTCCGATTTAAAATTTATTACTGCATACTTTTAGACACCTCTTTAAATAATTTTAAAACTCTTGTTATCTTCTAATTTTACAAGATAAAAATTCCGAAGTTTTGCTTACATTTCAAGCCAATTGTACCGACTTATTTTAGCGAAAACATCAAGGCCTTTAGTCAGGTACAAGCACCTTCGGGCTTCCCGTCACTGGTGGTTATTATTTCGAGCCCTCGCCCCTTCTGTCGCCTGCGGTTTGTGTAAGTGGCAACGTCCTGTTGCAGGTGGAAGCTGCCTTTATTCCTGATCCCTGTCCTGCCAGCTGACGACACTCATTGAGTATGATTGTGTACCCTTTTTGCGGGGTGTGAGCTTATAGCTAGTGTGTGTGTGTGTGTTGCTTGATGGCTTCCTGCTTCCGTGAAAGGCAAACTCATCATGCGAAATGCTAGAGCACACACATGGCCCGAAAGCGAACTATACCGAGGATTTGGTACGCTGTTGAGTGGAGTCCTTAAATTTCACTTAGACGTAACATAAGCCCGATATAAACGCAACTCAACGGTGCATGTATTCATGGCCATCAGGATGTGTGTGTGTGTGACTGTCTGTCTTTTGGTCCTTTGGCCCTGCAGGAATCGCACGCTTATCAGCAGTCGAGTGCAAACTGAATCCGTTGCTCTTCGTTTAGTCGGTGTGTTTGTATGTTTGTGTGTCTTTGGTACAGTGGCGAATCGCTAAAGCGTAACGACAGCGACAATATGCCGAAGATTCAGCAGGGGGCGGGTGCCAAAGGATCCGGGGTCCTGGCCATTTGGGCCACCATAAACGCTGTTAGCTTGTCTGCCATTTGCCGTCTGACTGCGCCCAGACTGCTGCCTGTAATTAAGGTGAATGCAGCAGTCAGCCGACCGAATCGACGACGAGGATCCTGCCAAGTGCGTGTCCTGTGCGTGTGGGCCAACACCAACACACCGACACACTCACACATCTGTCTGTTTCTGTGTTAATGAGCAGCCCGCTGTGCGCACAAAATAAATTATTAAAACGACATTCACGGCACTCTCAAGTGTTGCCCGTGCAAAGCTCCTTTTTGACGCCCAGAGATATCAGCAGTTTTTTTTCCAGCCCCGCAAAGCTAAAAGGACGAAGGGAAGACACCCTTCAAAGAGGACCCACAAAGGGGGAATTATAAAATGCCAGGATATACATTACATTTGTGTTGGCTTAACGGGGCACATTTATCCAACTACATTTCAAGTTTTTCACTTTATACCTTTGAGTGCTCTAAATCAGTGACACAAATTGTTGTGCCACTTAACTTAGGGTATATTAATTCATTAATGATAGTTCCATGTCGCAAGTTCAAGGCTTCGAATGTAGTTAGAAACTTGTGGATACGCATACGTTGGAAAACTTGGCACACTTTTGGGCTGGTGTAAATCCATTTTGAAGTGTACTTTAATTTGTAAAAAATGTGCTTTATTAAATAAAATAAAAATAATTGGCCTAACATTTTATAAGTGAAAAAAAATGGAAAATCCGTGAAAATCTATAAAAAAAATATTTAGGTATCCCAGAAAGTTCCTAGAATAATGCCAATATATAAAAATTCCAAATTCCAAAAGTAGTTGCGTATACGCCACGTTGATTTATAATCAGCGATGTTGTAATAAAAACGTAGCCTGCTTTTAGGCGTGCCTATTTTAATTGAAGTATTCCCATACTAAACCCATTTTGTGCTCGGGCCGCGGGGAAATGGCAAATATAAATCGCTGTTTTTATGGAAACATTTGAAAATACCTCGCCGCTTTCAATCTCGCCAGCTGACAGCTGCGGTGGCCCAGCAAACATGGCAGCACCGGCAACAAACAAACAATGCAATGCAACAAACCAACACACACACCCACTTTTATTCCAAAATAATTCGCGCAGCTTGAAAACTTTTGGCGGTGCTGGCAGAATCGGGGCATTTGCTTTCGGTCCCACGGGTTAACCAATATTTCTTTTCAATTTTCTGGAGGGAAAGCTGGGGAAAGTTTCGCTGTACAACTAAATATTTTGACATTTGTCCGCCATGCAGGCAAGCTGGCAAAGCGCGCAACTTTGTTCGGTAAGCGCAAATTGAAATGTGCTTGAGACAGTTTGCAGCCGACTACTAGGACGACTCCATTGTTTTTTGGCCCAAAGCGAGGGCAACAAAGTTTGAGCGCTTTCGTTAATTTGGCAACGTGGTCGGTTTTCGGTCCTCGGCCCCCTGCAGGTGGCAATGAGCCGGGGAGCTAAAATCAGGCGAAAAGGAGGACTAGGTGGAACCACACCCAAGTGCACTTGCAGTTGGCAGTTGTACGCCATGTTGTCGCTGTCAAAAAGTTTTACTGCGCCTGTCGCTGCTTTTGCCGCTGCTGCTGCTGCGGTTTGCAGCGAAATAGTTTGGGATTTGTTGCAAAAAAGTGTTTATTGGTGTATCCAGAGGGTTGCACTCTATGAAAATTGAGTTATTTGCTTGGCATCGCCGGCATTTCCCTTCGGCAAACACAAAACACCAGCCAACTTGGCACACATGCTGTGCTGTGCCGTGCGAGTTTTGGCTCATTAACCGGGCCTGTTGGGCTGCTCGACTGCTGCATATTAATTAGTCGACTTTTGGGCGCTGCCATGTATAATTAAGCAGCGAACGAGCCTCTTAACAAACCACATCCCGTCTGAGTTTGAGTCCTGAGTCCCGACTCCCTCACTTTGCCATGGCCATGCCTCATTAGCGGCGAAAAGTAAAGGCAAAGGCAGCTGCAAAGCCAAAAGTAAAGACACAGGATGTGGAAGGAGCTCCTGCTAATTTAATATTTATACCTTAATCAAGACAGAGTCGGAAAACCCTTTTGATGGCCGCTCCGAAAATCTGTTGATTCGTCGATGGCCAGCAGATTGGTTCGGCCTAACGATGGCCCAGGCGTTAATTGCTCATTTCCATGCAATGTTGTCGTTTCCCCCGAAGGCCTCTAGGACATCCTGTGTGTCCTGTCTGTCCTGTCTGTCTATCTGTCAGACAGACACAAATTCGGAATCGATAGCTCGCATCTGTCACCAGACCATCGCACACACAGCCTAACCGATGTGTACAGGGCTTTGATTCCGTAATGAGGCTTCCACCTTTGTGGTGTCCTGGGAAAAATCGAAAGAAAAGGCAAAAAGAAAATACTCGGCCATTGTGTCTTGGGGCTTTGTTCGTTGTTCGTTGGATTTGTTGGATGAGACTCGGGGCCATAAGGATACCCTTGACTCGCCATTTACTCCGTAGTTTATCCCTTCCTTGATTATTGCAGGCCATTTGCACCCATCGTCGTCCCCCTTTGTAATTTCGTTGAGACTTCTGACCTTATGTGTCCTTTGTTTGTGCTCCCTCAATTTTCCTGCACATTTAAAAGGATTAAAAGGATATTCGTCAAACGAAAAGTTTTCGCAAGTTTGTCAGGCGAAGAGGCCGCAAAATCCTGTCTCTGGCCCCCAAAAAAACACCCAACTTACCCACTTTCGCCCATTTTCTGTTTAGCCTACCTGTTCGTTGTGTTTTTCTACATTTGCCACTTTTTTGTACTTTGGGTCCTTTGTTTGCTCGGCCCTCTTTTTTTTTTGAGAGGGGCGTGTGCTTCTTAACTGGTCCTTGAATGAAACGCGTTTGGCCTTTTGTTTTCAACATTTATTTTTTAGTTCGTTCTCTTTACCACAAATATTCGTATTTCTGTATGTATATTTAATATGCTGTATATTTCCCTTTTTTTTTTCTCAGTGTAGTAGATTGGCCAAGCATTAGGCGCCATAATTTGGGTTGTTGAGTTGTAATCGTAATTGTTGTTGTTGTTCTTCGTTTGTTAATTTACACTTTAAATTTTACACTTAACTCTCGCTTTCTGCCGCTCAGTGTACATATAAATATTCGTGGCTTAGTATAATAATAATACACATATTCCACACATTTTTATTTATTTTGTTGCAGTTTGCACTTTGCATTTGTTGCAATTGCATAGGTTGCAATTTTTGCAATTTTATCGCTCGCTTGGTATGTCTGTATCTATAAATAAATATTTTATTTACGTTTATCGAGTTCAATTTGTCTGGGTTTTTTCTCCAATATTCGAGTTATCAATAGTAGCCTCAATAATGCTATTTTATCTAGACAATTTCTTAGACCTTAAAACATTTTATACAATACAAATCAGGGGAAATTCAAATTAGGCTGAATTCAATATTTTACACACAAATCCATGTGTACATATGTGCATGCGATTATATATTTAATGTTCGATAAACAATGGGAACAAAAAGTTAAAGCCTTTTGTGGTGTAAGTGTGTTTAAAATTAATAAACATGTCGTTTCTCTATAAATATATCTTTTATACACCTTTAACGGATTTGTTTTCCATTTATGCTTTGTTGTATACATAATTTCAATATATATTTTGTTTGTATAATTTCATGTTTTTCCTTTTTTGTTTTGTTCAATACGCAATGATATGTGTGATTGGAAGATTTTGATGTGAGAGAAATGATAAAGGTAGCCGCTTAGCAGATTCCCGAACAAAAAGACTTTGTCTGGGAACCCGACATTGTCGTAATACTTTCGACCTATCAAAATACAACATTTAAATATAATGTTCGTGTCTTGTGTGCATATTTGAGTGTATATCATGCGCTCCCATTTCCATTATAATGTCATTTTTCCTCCAAACAGGCATTTAAATGCCGGATTGTTATTGTTGGAGAGGCCTCAACAAACAATTATAAATAAAGGGCATAAATACCATATGCTAGGCAATGAAAAATGTTAATTGGCTTCCGACTCTCTTTGCGTTCGGGATCCGAAAATGTTACAACATTTATGATATGTTTTGCGAATTGCTGCGACACTTAATGTACTCTTATTTGATCTATATAAATATCATCCTCTTGCGTTTCACTGGTTTTGCACTGGACACCTATATAGAGTTTTTACATATAGATACACATTTATATGCTCGATAGAGGGTGTGTGCATGGCTCATAATTAGCGACAAAAGAGTGTTGGATATTTAGTGACTCCAAGTCCTTGGCCAATTATGCACATTCATGCTATACGCTATTTATATGCTGAGACACAACAGACGACTGAATTGTAGACAACACGCAGTTTGCATATTTATACAGACAAATAGAGAAGAAGAGAGAGAGTGTATGACATTCAGGGGGAAAAACTGCGGATGTGTAGGCGAGTGTGATGTGTTCTCGAGGGGTGTTTGCACTTGTTCATAGATTGGTGGGAAACATTTACTAGTACGAGTGATTTACAAACCCATAACTACGTAATAACTGGGAAATAGCTCCCGAATAACGTTCACATAAATCAAATTATCAGGAATCGAATAATGGCTGAAATTAGCATACCGTAATCATATCATTACCTAAACTATATAGTCTACAGATTTTGAATTAAAAAAGGAATAAATTATCGACTAAATTTAAAGCATTTTCATTTGTTGTGTATAAGTGTTAATATTTTTTCCATTTTGGTTTTTCATTTTCTCATTTTTTTTTTATTTAGTTCTTAGTGTATGCAATCAGTAAATTTGCATGCACACCTATTCGTAATGTATAATTTATAAATGTAATCAATTTCTGTTTTTTGTTTTTCTGTTAATAATAGACAGCGTAGCATAGGAAGACGTCAATACCTGCATAAGACATTTTAGCCATATTTTCATACATAATATGAACTTTGTTTTCAATTATTTATACGTGATGTCACCGTTATCATAATTAAGTATATTTCATTTATAAAAAATTGTTGTAGTTCGTGTTTAAGCATTATCCGGTTGCCGTACTCATTGGCTCTTTTCGCTTTTCCGCTTTTCCGCTGGCCAAGAAACTACACACAACCCTTGGAAAATGTTTCAACTGTGGCAAGATTTTGCAATTTGCAGTTGTAATTGTTATTTTGTTACTTGTTAATTGTTAATCGTTTGCTTTAACTGATTTCGCTTGTTCAAACTGTAGGAGAACGTAGCAGGCTTAGTTGTATACTAAATTTATGTTTGGTTTTGCTTTTCGCCGTCGAGTAGAAGTCAAAAATAGAAGCCTAATTACACACACAATACAGACGCTCATTTTATATATTTAGATTTGTTTTTCTTTTCTTTTTTAGAGAGTATAGACTAGTCCACTAATTGCTTTACATATATTTACTTTGCCGGGTTGTCCGTGGTTGCTATTATCTTGCTTTACATAGTTACATTGTTATGCTACGTGTTTAAAATGGTTCTTTAGCCATAGACACTTAAAGCGCGCTTGAAAATAATCCTCCTCTAAATACACACACAAAATGCATCCGTACTTAAGTACGGTTAAGCACTAGGCTGCGAATAAATTAAATTCATAACAAAAACAATTAAGCGCAACGGCAAATACAAATATTTTCCTAACTACACACTAAACGATCCATTGCAACGATAACCATTTACACACAACGAACCGAAAATAAAGGGTTCCAAATGAAAATAAATAAATAAGAGTCGTAATGCAAAGCGGAGTGGTTCCCCGAGTGGGTGACCCATTAAGATGAGCCCATCCCATTTCTCTCGGGGCAAAATGGTGACCCTATCCCATTTTCGGGGTCACCACGCGCCGCAGATTGCGCCCTTTTTCGGGGCTCCCGAACTGCGTGCTATTTTTCGCTCCGCCTTTCCTTTGCCTTCCTTTTCTTTTGTTTTGGTTGTTTTCTCAAAATGTTTTCAACACTGATTGTTTCTGTAAGCTTCTTGGTTTAACTGTCTAATTATTTTACATTTAAACGTTTTATTTCCGGGGGGTTTCGGGTTTTCTGTTTGTCGGGGATACGGTAGTCGTATTTAGCTTGCTGCTGCTTGCGGCTCTTAAATTCAATTTTCCTAATCTTAGCCTACCCACTCAGTTAGCCACAACCCCATCATCCTGTTTTTTTTTTTTTTTGCTGACTAGCCCAAGCGCTACAATACCGTAAAAAATATGTTTTTCCTTTGAATGTGTTTTATGTTATTCGTTTTCTAGTTTTTTCCTTGCTACTGCACTAAGTTCATACATTTTAGGTACAAGCTTCGTAGCGACTGCTTTGAAACGCCTAAAAACTTTAGCCCCGCAATCAATTCTGGCTATTTGGGATTTGAATTTCTGGGTTTCTCTGGGCTGACTGAGGCCCAAAACTCCTGACAAGGCCAAAATAAAGGGAAATCAGCCCATGACCTTGAGAGAGCGCAAAAAACGTTGGTTTCGTTTGGTTTCTTTGTTGTCCGAGTTGCAGTCGCCTCTCCCGAAAACTTATCTTCAATTAGCTATACAAAATTCTCCTTGGATTGTGGACTGTAAAAAAATGGCCGATGGCCGCTGGCCGACTGGACTGAAAAGCATTCTTCTTCTCGCAATTTCCCGTCCCGACTGCAACTTAATTACAAACATTTCTCTGGCGCAATGCCACACAAAAAAGAGTAGGGGAAAAATTCCACCCTCGGTCATCTGCAGTTATTTACAAGTAAACTATTTAAATTGGCCGACCAAGGCGAGCACAAATGCTAAAAATGTTCTCTTAGTCCATTGTCTTTGTGGCTGCCTCTTTTTGAGGCAGCACTAATTTAGCTGCTCGATCGAGCTTCATGCTTTGGGAAACAGATTAAAAATGCGGTGTACAATTTACAAAAAAATTCCAACTTGGTTTTTTTCCATTGCTGCTGCTTTGCTGCTGTCTTTGCTGCCTTTGTCCTTGATGTGGGATGTGGGAAGTGGGATGATGATGCTGTGGGGTTGCCCTTGGTTTTGCTTTAACTATACCTTCTGTGCGAGTATGTCGGTGGTCTTCTCCTCTCCAGGCCTTCTGCATAATGCATCTGCATCATCATCATCATCTAGTAGCTGAGGGGCAGCAGGACGAGCAGCAGGAGCTGCGCCACTGACCACAAGTGCGTCATCACTTGTGAGCCATGGGCCCTCCTGCCCGCGGAGGTTTCGTTGCCATGTCCATTTCCATTGCCCAGCGCCGCCATTCCGATGCTCGGCGGGGCCGTCGACGTGGAGGAGGCCAGTTGTCGCTCGACCTCAACTGCAAATAGCCAAAAAAGAACACACGGCGCTTTAGAATGAGATCAACAATGGATTGGGATTAATTGAAAAGGAAGGCAAACTACCTGGTTTGATAATCAGAAAATTAACAAAGTCCAGGAGGCCTTGCTTAAGGAACAAATAATACAAAGCTATTTACCTTGTAAATCAATACTACTAAAATAAATAAACATATTATTCTTTACCTAAGAATGATAAGAATAATAATAATACATCGGAATAATTTATGTAAACATAAATCCATTTCCGCCACGTCCACTCTAACGCACACATCAGTATACATTTCGAAAAAGTATTAATGCAACAGTGTTGTGTTTAATTATACCTACAGAAAAGTAGAAGAAATTTTTCAAATCGGACCATTCATTAAAAAGATATGAACAAATATTGCAATTTAAGCAGTGCAAACAGCTGCTTAGTTGCATGCACATCTCCATCTCCCTCGCACTTCATTCTCTCTCAAAGACTATCTATTGAATAAGAATAGTAGTTTATTAGCTCTTGAATATGTATACCTATATCTAATTAAACTCCATATATGTTTCATAAAGCATACCAAAATTTATTAAACAAATAAAGCCGAAATAAATGACACAGCCATTATGAGAGGTCAAGGATAAAGCAAGAAAATCAAATTGAAAATGGCAAAATTCCCACCGTAAAATGAATAATTCAGAGCCGTGATAAGTTCCGCAAGTTATCTAGCCAGAAATGGTTAACCGCTGAGAACGAGGCACGAAAACCGCTGAAAAGGTCGTCAGAATGATTGGTCCCGAAAAAGAGACCTCAGTCCGCTGTGCTGAAAACTTTTCGCATAAGCAAACTGATGGCAGCCCCTTAGGGCGGCATAAGAAACAATTACAGAGTGAAGCATTCTCGGCGGCCAAGTGGCAGTGGCCCAAACAAATGACGCACTTCACGCAACATAAATAACACGCATACGCCCCTTGGTTCAAGTGACAGTTGGCAGCCACTCGGCCACTGAGGCAAAGAGGTCGAAAGACAAGGAGACAACGAACGAGGCTGCCTCCTTGTTGGCCAAGGACGATGGTTCGGAGGGGAAAAGTTGGCCAACGACCATCGTGAGTCATGGGCCTGGTAATGTGTAAATTATTTCGTACAATTCAGGACAATTTACAACGGGGGCTCAACGACTTGGCTGGGACGTTAGTGTTAACAACCGGCTCGTAGGCAAACAAAGCCGGCAAATATATAAATTAACCTTTGTTTGGCCTGCTCTTCTTCTTTCACAAAGAGGTGGAGTAAATGAAAATTAAACGTAGACAAAACGGCAAACATATGACGCCCCCTTTTTTGTGTACGACACCAGTTAGGCAAACAAGCAAACAACCAAATCCAAGGACGAAAAATCTAATCTCCCAGTTTGAGACAAAGCCAACGCATTGGCTTTTGTTTAAAATTCCTCGTCGGTTTTCGCTTTGCCAGTCGACTGTCGACGAGAGCAAATAACAATGCCCCTGCACATTATCATACTAATTTATTTTGTGAAAACTCATCCGTGATTCCATCTTCCATTTCATAATTTTGTGGCGCGAAGGACATTTTGATGAGCTCACTGGTCGTAATTTCAGGCGAATTTGTGTGTGTGTACCGAAACAAATATTTGCCTTGCATAGCATTACACGACATAAAATAAATAAAGTATATATCCACGGAAAAATATGAGAGCACAATGTAGTCTGCGTATTTATGCAAATCACGCACGGGCACCGTGTTTGGCAGCAAAACATTTTTTTCTAAATACAAAAATTATAAAATGTACCTATATAAAAAATAAAATCTTTTAAAAACATAAACATAACAAAATCTTTACAAATATTTCGAGCTTTGATGAAAGAAATTCGGCAGTAGGATCTTGCAAAGAATTACCTCTATTTTTTGCAAGTTTTCAATCGTAACTTGGTTAAATCAAGGGCCACAGCCAAAAGATTGACTGTTTTGAGCAGCTAACAACCTAAGCTAACAAACTGTATCACATTCTGGTAAATTTATTTTTTGACCAGTTTTCGCATTTTTCATAAGAGGTTACGTCATGATTTTTTGCAAAAAGTGGATAAAATTTAAAGTTTCCAGGTGTGAATGCTAAAAATACTGAAATATCACTATTTTTAAGGCGGAAAATATTTAAACTATTATTTTGGTATAGAAATTTTTCTACTTTACAATATCTAAAACTTATTAACAGTAGTTTTATATTTATTATAATATTTTATTTCTCTACTATCTTTTCCACTCACCTTTCACCGAGAAGGTCTTGTAGTCAGCGTACTGCTCGCCCTGGCCCACAGTGGCTGGGATCGTGGACAGGCAGGTGATCTCCATGCGGCTGTTGCTGCCCACGTGCTCCTCGGTGAGCTCGATGTTCAGCTGGCTGATGCTGAACATGCCCTTCTCCTGCTGGGCGGCAGTAACGGCCGCCGCCGCAGCAGCCACTCCACTTCCGCCGCCAGGATGCGAAAGGGGTCGCTGGTAGCCCGCTGCCAGCTGATTCATGGGTCCTGCATTCGACGGGATGCCCAGCTCCTTGTTCATGTTGGGAGCCTGCGGACCAAAGCCCCCGCTGTTCAGCGTGGTCCGGATGATGCCCAGGGCGTTCTCGTTTATGTGTCGCCGGTACTTGCGGTTGCTGTTCCTGCAATTTAGATGGAAGAGTCTGGGTTTTAGTGTGAGGCTACGCCAGAGCAATTTGCACACAAATAAAATCGTAAATATTTGCATTTTATGATTGATGTGTGCGAACGTGAAAAGCAAAATAAAACGCGGCCGGGAAAGTGAGAGTGTCGATTGGAAGGAGGAGAATGAGTGGCTTCCACATGCCGGGCACGCACATCTGATTCCCATACAAAACCGCTTTTTGGATACCTAAGGGGAGCTAAGCCATCTCCATTTTCAGCCCAAAACCCCTGAGTAATTGATAACCGAACAACAAACTTCCCAAGAATGGCCCTGAGAATTTTCCACAGAAATTCAACCGAAATTATTGAGCTCTCAGAGAGAGTTTTCCAGCTTTTTTGCTGATTGGCAAAGGCTTTCTAATGTTTCGGCTGCATTAAGGCCTGATTAGTTTGCATTATTCAGCCGTATCGCACATTGTGAGTCTAATTAGCTTTTACGACTTTGCTTCATATTTGATAAGAAGCCTGAACGGCATACAAATGAACTGAAGCCGACGACTCTGCGGATAAGCGGTTGTGTGGCTTTCGGGCTTTCAGAACCCGATCCCCTTCCCTGTAATTACTCGGGGCCTTGTTCCTTTGCCTCGTGTACATGGCGACATGTTGCTTTATTACAAATTCAAAATGACAGCGAAATTACCTTTGGTATTGCCATTACACACAACCCAAGACTCACACACCAGCATGATTCTGTTGAGCAAATAATGTCGGGGCCATAAAGTTTAATGCTGGCAAACCAATTGTCAGCTGTGTTGGTTCACGGCCCACATAAATTGTATCGAAATCTGTATCTGCATCTGCATCTCTTGAAATTCGAGTTAAAAGCGCTCACTTCCGTCTCATTTAAACAATTATTCCATTTGCATAGCTTTCTCTCTCTCTTGTCCTTGCCTGCTTATGCAAATTGCAAAGTAAATGCCATAGAATTTTAGCAGAATTATATTTAAATAATATTTGGCTTAAAGTGCACTGCAAGGAGACGAAGGATGCGAAGGATACGAGGTAGGATGCCGCAGGCACTCGTATTCCAGATAAAGCAAGGTGTCAGCAAAAAGTTGCTTTTCTATGGCAAGTGTTTGCTTCTCTTTCAATCTTCCCTGGGAGAAGTGTATATATGTTTTCCCGAATACCCAGACTTCCTTTTCCTCTCTTGGCAAGTGTGGAAAAAATGGGAAAATGTCATGCAAATTGTAGGGGGCCAAAATACGACAACTGAATACGCTTTATAATGGTTAAGGAAAAAGGATGAAAAGTAATTTTCTTTATGGCTGTAGATTTGATTTGCAACCATCAAAGGTGTAATGAAAGTTTGGTAGTCACAACCGAAATTCTGGGTTTTTCGGGTATGTTTTTCGCATAGCCCCAGCACGCACAAAGGGCAAACAATTGGCCAGGAGTGGGTTAAACAATATCGAGTGGCAGTAAGGCAGCAACCGACAGCCAACAGCCAACAGCCAACAGCATCGGTAGTAAGCCAGTTAAGCCAGCAGAGCAAACAAATGCGGGCCAAAACTCAGAGCAAATGCACAGCATCCGCATAAGCCTTCGACAGCTTCAGTTGGAGATCTTCTAGCCTGGTTTTGTATAGTATGGTCCAATGGGATGATGACAGCTGGTAGCTGGGGCATCATCAACGGAGCTGTTGTTACTGCGAAGCTACTTCCACTGCAGTTGTCTTAATAAAATTCCTTATGCAGAGCGCACTTTTCGCAGGAAACACACTGCCACCGGTAGTGAAAAACAAGGACGAAGACATGGAGGGAATTTTCCAGGCAAAACAGCTAGGACAACACAGCATCTCAGCAGCAGCAGCAGCCGTGGCAGGAAGCTCAAGTTCAAAACATAACAAACTTGCCGAGCAATTCAAATCAGACGGAAATGCGGGTCCCGGTGTTCCAAGTTCTTCGCCTCCACCTCATCCCATCCCTCTACTCAAAATAGTGTGCGCAAGTTATGAAACTGCTGTCTGGCATGACACTTTAAATTCCGCTCTACCCTTGGCAAGGATACGAAGGATTCGGTTTCGAAATATCTTAACTCGCAGCTGACATGCAAAACCACCTTCTGGGGTTTTTCGGGGCCCGACCCAAGGCGATAATTTGAGAAATGCGCCTAATTAATTGATAAGTCATGTAGTTTCGTTCTGTGTTTTCCGTGTTTGGTGCTCTCGAATATTTATGTGTCTCTGGGCCACAAAAACCGCTGCCTAATTTCGTTAGCCAACGCAGGCAAACGACGAGAGACGTCTACGCCAACGCAACAAAACCTATTAGCAATTTATGATGGACACAGCAGTCCAGAACGGAATCGGCAATAGTGCTGTGCTGTCGGGTTGCCAACTTCCCGTCAAATTCAGTTTAAGGGATAACTTTGAGGGCTAGAATATCTGTGGGTGTGGGTGGGTTAACCTAACATAATATTGATAACGAAAACTACAGCTGTTCATTATATCTATTCATACTTTTTACTTTATTTCCGACATTTTAATTTAGAATTTTAGAACAATTTGATAAAAATTATTTTTATTCCAGTTTATTCCAGATAGGGTTTAAATACTCTGAACTTCTATTACACAAAATGTTTTATTTAAGGTTTGTAGAAATTTTATGTATCTTAGTTTATAATCCGTATATCTAAGGAATTACCAGCATGATAGTTATTATCCGAAAACTTTTAAATACTTTCAATCTAGCTCTTTTCCGTTTTCTCCACTCCATAATCATACTACTCATCCCCCTGAATAACCGGCAACACTGAACGGCCCAGAGCATCAGGATTTCCAATCCAAACGAGAGCATTCGGCTGGCCATCAACCCACTTAGCTGGGAACAAGCAAAGCAACTTAAGTGGGCGCAAGGGCTACGTGCAAAACCATGAATTTCTTATGCCGCCATGCACAAAAAGAGGTCTTGAGATCGGAAACCGGAACTTGGGTGAACCGCAACTTGGCAAGAACAACAACAACAACAACAACTACAGAAAATGGCAAAGAAACCAAACAGATTACCAGCAAAACTTTTGGCTAGGCTAACTTTGCCTGGGCAAACCTTTTGGCCGAAATCAAATCCTCGGCCGGGAGCCAAAAACTCCCCCCGATTCGCTTTCTTTCCCCGAAAATTACACAGCGCAACGCATGCAAATTTTGTTGCCAAGTAATTGCCCGGGGCCAGCTAATTTGTATTAACTATTCAGGGGTGTAAAGTGTTTCGTCATCGGCAGCGATGCCAAGTCGATGTCGACCTAACAAGTGTCTAACTTACGGCTCAAATGCGCGCGCGCACAAAAGAGCGCTGCGAAAAAAAATATGTGTTTAAAACTGGGTTAGCCAGCAAGAGTACACTGAGTGAAATTTATTGTAAAAATGGCAGACAATTACGATAAAAGATAGATACTTATTAATTTGTAAGGACAGACTTAAACAAGGTTAAAATGCTTAAAAATTTTAAAAAATCAAACTCAAAGATATTTTGGGTACAAAAAAATAAAAATATTTAATTCATTTTATCATTTTAAAAATCCTTATACAAATTTATACATAAAAATCTCGTAATATTTTATGAAATTTAAAGAAATATTGATATGGAAGTTTTAAAATACAAAACATGGAAATAGTAATTTCAACAATTAAACTTTTTCTTAACAAAATAATTTTAAAAATGTATTTATTTTTAGTGTTTATTAATAGTTATGTTGGCATACAACATTACTAATTCTCGCAGTGTAGACCGGGCAGGAAACTCCACTGGCACCGTTGGCAACCTTTATACTTCCACCAACTCAACTCAACTCGACTGACAACAGCAACTGTTACGCGTGTGAAATTATAACTGACAGCAGAGCTTCTTTTGTCGTCGCTGACTCGTCCTGGCATGCGGTTCATTGAATAATTTATGCACTATAAAGTGGCACCACCGCCCATTTCCATTTCCATACCCAAACCCATACTCATTCCGATTCCAATTCCCATTCCCCCTTCCATTCTACCTGAAAACTCTGGGTTTCCTTCGTGCCAGCAAAAACAGGGCCAAAATGAAAGAGAGAGACACTTGTTTGGCATTGCTATGCAAATGCGAAAACTTCATCAAGTGCCCCTGGAACTATTTATATTAATTGCATGCGTGTTCTCCTGCCAAACGAAACATTTCCACCTGGGTTGGCCAACTAATTAGAGGTCAAATCGAACGGAAAATTGTTCATTAAGGGACTAGCAGTAGTCCATCGTTCATCATTTAACCCACTCAATTAGGAAAAACAATTTGATAAATTTTAGTTTAAATGAAATTATTACAAAGGTAGTTCGAAAGCCACACATGTTGCACGCGACTGTCGGCTATCAAAGTTGCCAAGGGCCAGGGGCCAAACCGCCCGTAATTGGCTTAATTGGGCATTTATCGTCAATCACGGAGTTGCATGTTCATGTTTGGCTTGAAAAATGCATATTTCCGTAATTAACTTGATTGCATTTCGATGGAAAAGCCCGATGGCAAACGGGGCTAAGTTCATTACCGGCAAAACAGTTTGACAGCCACTGGCTGACGGGCCGAAAAGTATACAACATCTAAGCCACACGCTTTAAGTTCAATTGGGCAATCAATGAATGGAATCAAGCATATCAAATTCCACAATGAATGCCATCATAAATGCCAGATAATATGCAAATGGAAACACGGGAAAAAAGCGACAATAAAATGAAACCCTAAACCACACAAAAATGCCACAAGCGACATGGGGTTAATTTGCATAAATAGGTTTTTTGTGTGCCCTCTTGTTTTTAGCTTATTTACGAAATTCGCTTGGCATATTATGACCATAAACCAGATACTGCGGACAGTCCGCTGAGTAGCAGGTTCGATTAGCGCCTGATTTGTGACGATCTCTCATAGGCAGACTCCACTGCCCGCGGCGTCCGTCTGTCAATTGCCTGAATGATATATTGACTGCATTAATTAATTTTGAATTTGGCCAATCATTCCCAGAATTTCTGTGGATATCGTAATTGATTTGTTTTTCTTTCTCGTTGTTTTCCCCGATGCAATTAATTAAACACAACCAGCTATGCAAATCGCTTGGCATTGCTCCACTTAAATGGCCATAATTTTATGGTTTTTGGTAGGCCAAAACTCATCCAGTTTTGTTTTTGCATTTCGTTCGCCATAGACGCCAAATTGGCAAACCGTTTTGATTTTTTGTGAATTTATGCAAACTAATGCTGGCGGATATAGTTCCACGGATTTTGCTTTTTTGCGTCACCTGCAACGGCTTTAGGTTTTGGTATTTGATTTTGGATTGGCTACACCCGCTGTCTCATCTCCGGCTGAAATCTGCATCTTAGATTGGACTCGCTTTTGAGGCCTTCGGAGCTATAAAAACGCCCCTCTGCCAGATGGGCTGCAGCATTAGCGGTTTACACCTCCCGGCGATAACAGATTTCAACGAAAATTGTTTAGGAGTGGAGCTATCAATATGCGTGGATTTATCGTGAGTTTAATGGGTATTAATAATATTGCATTTCTGTGATTTGGAAATTTTTCTTTAGATTTTGACTTTCTTGGCGGTGGCTCAGGCTGATGTGGGTGGCTACAACTATGCAGCAGGTTCAGGAGGTTCCATCTCGGGAGGTTCCATCTCTGGGGGATCCCTGACTGGGGGATCCTACTCCAGCAACTATGCCCCCGTAAACACCGAGTTCAACAAGGAGTTCTTCACCTACTCCGCACCCGAGGCTGATTTCGAGGATAACAGGAGCATCAGTGACCTGGCCCAATCTCTGAAGAAGAACTTGCGAGTGGTCTTCATTAGGGCTCCCGAGAACAAGGGTCTGGAGAACGCAGCTCTGGCTCTGGCCAAACAGGCTGCCGAGCAGCAGACGGCCATCTATGTGCTGACCAAGCAGGGCGATCTCTCCAGCCTGGCCAACCAGCTGCAGAATCTGAACCATGTGAGTGCCAGCAAGCCAGAGGTGCACTTCGTCAAGTACCGGACTCCCGAGGATGCCTTGAATGCCCAGCGGACCATTCAGCAGGAGTACGAGCGTCTGGGCGGCTCGTCCACCTCGCACAATGGGGGCGTGGCACCGGTGCTGGACTTTGCCACCAAAGTGCAACAGCAACAGCAACAGCAGGTGCAACAGCAGCAGCAGGTGCAACTGATTGATGAGCGTCGGGCAACCAGCGGAAGTGTAACCGCCGAACTGGAGGCTCCTTCGGCAGGATACATTCCACCCGCAGCCGCTGCTCCCAGCTCCACCTACCTGCCTGTAAACAAGGTCAAGTAGGTGGACTACCCTTTAAGTGCTACTCTATAAAATATAAACTTAATTTAATGTACCTACCCATACTCGATATGTGGCCAAGATTAATGGAGGAAGTCATTTCAGCACCTTGTAGTTGCTATCGGTCAGCTTTTACCTTTAAGCTTTTAGCCAGAAGCCGAGAACCTGGCTTGCAATTAAAACTAAAAGCGCATTGGCATTGGACGGACGGCGGGCTTAAGAGTTGCCGTAAATTTAAGTGACCCCGAAACGCGCTTTATGGCACGTCAACCAGGACGACGACGACCAGCGTTGACCCGCCCCCAAAAGGATTACCGACACACACGCGATCAGGGCCATCGACTAAGGGCAGGGAGCTAATTACCGCCGCAACAGAGCCAATTTCTGAATTTCAGTCGCGACATTTAATGGCCGCCCTTTTGAGGGTCAAGTCGGTGGCAATTTGCTCCTAACATCGCAACTGCACAAGAAACCCACACTGAGAATTAAATGAAAATTACCAGCTGCATTTAGGGGCGCGCTCCTTTGTTGACCGTCGTTGAAATTCCAGTAAAGCGAGCTGGAAAAACCACAGAAGCTAGAAAGCCAGAAAGTGCTTTGTTTTCTGCTTTCCGCAGGTCCTTCGCGGTTTTCCATTTGAGCCCCCACCCGACATACCTCAAAAATAATTTTAAAATTTAGTTTTAATAGCAATTCCATTTGCAGCCAAGTGGCAGAACCCACAGAAAAAAACATACCTACAACAAGCTCTTATTAAAGAGGTGTTTCCCGTGGCCGCTTTAAGCCGAAGCTTGTTGGCATTTTGGATTGCTTTTCGGATATATCGTTTTTTTGGCACAAAGGAAGTGTGCAAAGGGCAAGCAAACCGCCGGAATAAAAGCCAGGTTGAAGCTAGACGCAGACAAGGACCTTCAGACCTGCCCAACATTTAGTTTCGACTCGGCTTAGTTCAGCTCGGTTCTGCTCTGTTCTCCTCTGGCGTGGGCCTGCCACAAAAGGCCTTACGTGTTGCACAAACATAAATTGTGCAACAACGTGTAAACTACTTTTTGACTGCATAAAGCCCGCCATTCCCATCCCTGTTCCCATGTCCTTGCTGGCTCATTCCGAGCCATTCTTCTCCGGAAGGGTAATATCATTTTAGTCAGTATTTTATAATGCGGGAAAATCAAAGTTCTTTGTGATTTTAATTTTATTTACTTGATTTCACAGATGATTTAATTTCACTGATTTAATTAAAGGATTAGCTCCAGATTTACATTTTTTATTTTTAGATTTTATAGAATTATGAAAATATAAAAAACTGCTTGATTTTGGTACAAAATAGAAAACATTACGGTTTGAAATCTTGTACAAGGGTGTCTAAAAGTATGCAATAAAAACAATGCTTTGGATTTACAGCAATCACAATATTGCATACTTTTGGGCACATTTATAAGTGTTTTCAAACCCATACATTCAATTTTGTAAAAACAACGAAATTGTTTCTAGTAAAAGGGTGAATTAACTTCGGTTTGCTGAAAACAGGCTTCCTGGCTTTGTTGGCCATTCCGTCGACAAGTGTTCATTCAGAGCTACGTGTTATGGCCTTTTCAGCCGTGCAACTTCTGCCGTTGTGGCTCGTTGCCTGCCATTCGGTTTTGTTCTTTTCATGTTGCAATCTTAAAGGGTCTTCAAGCTGTACTCCAGAGAAAACAAAGAAACAAAACAGTGAAAGACAAACAACACACCATATACTACGGTCATATGAGAAAGCTTTCTGATGTTCCGGCTTTCGGGTGGCACTTTTCTATCTTGTCTGTCTGTCAGCAGGCAATTCACTAATCACGTTAAGCGGTTAATTACTTTCCACTGACTACCGAAGACTATCACATGTTTGAATGACCCCTGCTCAATATTTTATGCGACCCGTAAATCTTGCAAGGTCGCTGGGTTCGTTGAGTTCGGGTTTCTGGGTTCAGAGGGCAGTGGGCGGTGACATTAGCATTGCATTTGCATAAAATAACATGAATATTTTCGCCACACCCCCGCATGGGTGGCATGCCACCAGCCATGATGCACAAACTTAATAAACAGCGCAGTTTATTCCACGCCTGGCCAGCCAAGCAGCCCACACAAACATAAACATAAACGGTAGAGAACCCAAGGAATTTATGCACATTGGCATGCACATAAACGCTGCCTGTTACTGGTTATTGTAGCACCGCTCGGCCTTGTCCTGCCTTTGTTTTCGCTAGTGTTGCATGTGCACTTTTCAGTGATCCCCCTTTTTCTTTCCCTTTTGGAAAATTCCACTTTCCACCAGTTTACGCCAGGCGGCTGCATAAATATGCAACGCTTATCACATGGTTTTATGGCAGATGGGGCTTCACAGTTTTAGTAATGGTCGGGGGGATGAGGGGCCTGAAATCACGCCCCACATAAACCCATAACTGAAGCCATCTACAGGTGTCTGCAGCTGAAAGTTTAAGGATGGTTAAGCCAAGTATTGTGGGTGGAAAAAAAATCGTTTACAATTTCATGTAATTTACGGTACTATCCGGTTATCTTGGTCTTAGTGAATCCGCATAAAGCGTGAAGAAGACCCACAAACTACCCTGTAAAATTAACTTTGAGTGCATTCCTATTTGTATTAAATTGTTTAATTTAAATTAGATTTGAAAACAACTATTAAGGGTGCTAAATTAAATAATTAATTAAAGCTTTTTTAAAATATAGTGTTGCATACTTTTAAACACCTTTATAAGTGATTTCATAATCCTAGCCATTTTATTGCATACTTTTAGGCATCGTAACTTCTTGCCACCGCATTTAAAGTGATAGGTACCTTAAAAAGGATAGCATATTCTTCCTGCTTATGGACTACTCCAATCTCTTTTTTGCCTGCCACGAGTGAAGCTTATGTTAAGCGTTAGCGCCTCCTGCGCTTTGAATATAAATTATTTCATATTGCCATTGGGCTCTCAGCGAAATTAGTTCCTTTACCCTGCCCTCCAGCCCCTTCATCACAGGACCTCCAACTCAACCTTCTACTTACAGCACTCTGAATTGTGGGAAATTATTTATAAAATAGTTTTCCGCACTGCTCGTGCATTCGGCGCTGGCTTTTTTCCCGCGGCAAATGCAATTAGCATTCGCTGATTACCTGGCGTGGAGGAAATGGCACGAGTGTAAATTATGGTTTTTACTTTATGGCAAATTAACCAAGTGGGTTTATTTCGCACACACATGCACAGCCGCTAACTTTTAACGGCCATAAACTCTGCGATTCTACGGAGGCTGAATTTGAAACTTTTCGGCTTATTCGGCTTATGCTAATGTGAAAGCCAAGCGGCAAGTAACCGTCTTTAAATGGCAAATTCATTTGCCAATTACCAGCAGGCCGTGACATTTGAGCAGGTCTTATTTTGGATTTTTTTCTGACCTGGTTCTAGTCCGTAATCTGTCAACCCAGTTGGCCAGCTGAATTGAAAGGGTTGAGAGTTGAGGGGCTCAGGTGCACAATAGCTGTCCGGCTGTCAGGCCATGAACATGGCACTCCAGAGCTACCATTTCTATTTCAAGTTGCCCCCAACTGCCGACCTCTGACCTTCCCACCCCCCACTTACAACCTCTTACTTATTTTACCCCCCAAGACGTGCCACGTGGCGTATGTGCAATGTGGACTTCAAAGAGCAGCAGCCACTTCGTGGAAGCGCCAAGCGACTCGTGGCTTTCATTAAGCTGACACCTCGCCCGCGCCCTCCCCCATTTCTCCTTAAAGGATCATATACACACAGTACACACAACTACCCAACCACGTCCTCTACACACTCCTACAAAGTTACGGGGCCAAAAGTTGTTATATTGGAAAAGTTTCTCAGCTTGATTTTTAATATCACAGGTGAACGTAAATAATTTATTGCATTCATTTACGTTTCACATCCAATCGCGCCACGTAAAGATTTCGAAAAAGCCAGGCAAGGTTAGTAGGGGGTTTGTGGGTAACTTAGGTTTGGGGTTTTCTCAGCCACAAGGAGCTAACGAAATTTATTTATGCGTTATACAACAAAAGGCAAAAGAAACTCTAACAATGTGCCAACAGCCGTTGGCTTTGGCCGTCGGAAAATCCTTTTAGACCATAGATAAGGAAACTTTAATAAACACGCCACACACGCAACCTGGGAAATTGATAAGAATATGAAAAGTTTGTGGTGGGTAAAAGTTTTCACGACCTTTACAGGTACCTCTACTATGGCTACCCCGTTGGCCATCCATAAGCTCTTGTTAGCTGAAAGTTGCAGCCTTTTAATTTGTATAGCCCATAAATACAGTTCACAGGGTACTTTGGCTTGGCTTGGGCCAAGGATTAATGTCCCTGCGACTCACCTGTGCTTCTTCATCTCCATCTGCTGCTGCTTCTTGATCTCCATCATCTTCTTGTTGTTGCTGTCGTAGTTGCGCTGGTGCACCTCGTGGAACTCACCCACATCATGGTAGTTGGCCAGCGAGCCAAAGGGATTGTTGTACAGGCTTCCATGGTGACCATGGCCCTCGTGGTGGTGCGACGCAAAGTGCGGGAACTCATCTGCAATGCCAGCGGAAAATAAGTGAGTTGAAAATGGGAAAATGGTTAAATAGGGAATTGCAGAACTGCCAAGGAAAAGCAAAGAGAACAAGGAGCACAGGAGGTCAGCAATCAAACTAATTAACGTAAACGCCGCAATGGCAGCTCCTCGTTTGGAACGCAAACAGCACAGAAATGTCGCATTAGCCAGTGGTGCTTCACAGCTTGTTGTCTTGTCAACTGCAGACACGCAGTAAGAAATTGTGAATAGGAAATATAAGTTGGTACTCAAGCATGAAATATACATACTAACTCACATTTCTTATTATAATTTTTTCTGTAATTCTTTCAAACTAACTAAAAACCTTTAATAAAAATGTAAGCAAGTACAATAAATATTTATATTTCTTTATTTTAATGAACTTATATTTTTACTTATAGAATTTTAATTGTTTTTGTTATATTTCCCTTCAATTATGTACTTTTTATAATATACCTACAACAATCATTTGTTAATAAAGAGGATTGTTTTGAGTATTTCTACAGCCCTTATAGTTTAAACAGGAATAATTTTGAAAATTTCAAAATATCCCTTACTACAATTAGTTTTGATTCTTATTTTCTCTCTACCCGATTTCTCCCAGTGCACTTCCTCCGTGGACAATAGCCCTCGACCACTTACCCGCTCGTGCTCCGGCCGGCCATCGTAGGCTTTTGTCGTATCGGTCCATGAATTGGCCAACGGGGATGTGATACTGCTGATGGTACTGATTGAAGTACTGCTGCTGGAAGTACTGCTGCTGCAGCTGCTGCTGACTCAGCTGCGTCTGCTGTTGCTGCTGCGTGCGTCGCTGGTGCTTCCCGTTGAACGAGAAGGCGTGGTGGGTGCGCACGTACTTGTCCTCCACCTGTCGATACAGAAGACAAACACACAAAGGAGCCCCCGAAAGGACGAGCGGATGAGTCAGTGGAAGGAGGTTTTTATTGTATTACATATACCCGGTCAGCAAAACAATTACAAAAGTCACTTCAATGTCAAATCCCATTCCATGGCCCAAACCACCGCACATCTGCAGCCGAGCGTCCGCGTCCGGCTTAAATTAAATATGGATCAGGACCCAAAGGGCCAGTCCCACATCTGTTGGTCATATACTCCGCATACACTCCATGCTGCACTGCCAGCGGCCAGCGTTTATGAATAAATTTCATTTTAGAGCTGCCCAGTAATGAATTTATTTAAATTTCATTTCCTCTTGCCGCCGACAGCAGCTGGCCGCTGGCTTTTGCAATTAAAATGAAAGCTCTCTTCCGACGACGTCGACAACCCATGTAGGCCATAATTATAAAATGGCTTAAACTGATGTTAATCTTAATGCGGCTGTGTGCCACACATACACTCATTCCCATCCCCAGGCAGTCGTTTTTGGAGTGCATTATCCTAGTGATTAACCAGATGCCTGGCGGCATTTCTCGCACATAGACATTCGCCGTAAATAATCCATTGCAATTTGGCTCCGATTACGCTTTCAATTGCGCAATCGAATTTGCAGAATTGCCCCGGCTTCGAGTTTCGAATATCACGCATACGCACCTTTTTCCCATTGATTAGCCACGTGATGTGCGGCGCGGGGCGGCCGCGGGTGGTGTTGCACAGGGCGAAAAGTTTCTCGCCCACCGCGAAGGGCGTCCGCTTGCGAAACCTTATGGTGGGCGGACCCGTCTGCGGCACTGCAAATATAGGTATAATTAAACTAACTGTTTGGGGCTATCTCATCATCGTGTGTATTATTACGCACAGAACACGCTCATCAGCTCATCGGCGCTGGCCTTGGTGAAAATGGGCGTATCCGTGGAGACCTCGCAGTAGAACTGGCCGGATAGATCGAACTGGACATCCTTTAGGGTAACCTGCTGCTCATTCGAATTGTCCCACTGTTGATTAAAAGGTGCCAGGGGAAAAAAGGGATAAATTAAGGGAATTACTAACGGCGGACACAGAAAGCTCATTAGCAAATCAATTGATCCAGAGGAGAGGGTTTAAGGCAAGTGTCTACCAATTAGCTGCAATCTACCGGACATGCTAAATCCGAAAACGATTAAAGTGTAGTTGTGGACTAACTGACATAGCAGCGGAGGTAATGATGATTGAGTAAATAAGTGGCCAGGACATCAGTTCTACTTACATCGATTTCGGCCCCCTCGATGGTCGAGTTGCGGAATGGCGGATTCCGTCCGTTTATGAATTCAAAGAACTTGCCCTTGTCAACCTTCAGCCATGTCACCTGCAAAAAACAGAAAAACAAAGAACATTTACCAATATTAAAAGAAAGAAAGCATTGATTGGGATTCGAATGCGAATGCGAGTGAGGATTTCTGTTTCTGACAGTGATTGAATGTGTCAGCTTTGACGGCTGTTCCAGGATCACTTAATGCCGGCAGCGGCATATATTAATAAATGGCTTAAATGGTATTGCGCAATTTCGTTCGTTACGCAACCAGCCATCGCAATCCAGAGGAAAAAACCACCCCAATCCCAAGTCCAATCCCTGTCCCAATTCAACTTCCCTGCCAGCTGCAGAGCAATTTAACTTGGCAACAAGTTACACTAACTGAATGCTGACTCGTTGTTAGCGCGTTAAACTGTAAACTGTAAATAATAAAACGTTTTTATTGGAATGCCAGAAAGGAATGGCAGATTCTGGAAGGGAGTGCCAGAATCCTGAATAAACGGGGTGTTGGCGCATGTCACCCCTGCAATTAAAAACAAAATCCACAAGCGCAACTTCCAGTGGGACAAAAAAGTTGTTACTACGGTTTTTTTAGTGGGTCGCGGGGCTTACGACAACGACAAATATGAATAATGAAAATGGAAATTAATTTTCATGCGCAAGTTTTCCACATTCAACTTAAAACTAGCTGGGCGGAAGGAGGAAGGGCTGGTTGGCTGACAACGCTTTTCTGGCCGGATGTGCGGCTCTTGTCGACCATTTTTTAATTACACCCAGCATTTATTTATTATGCATATTTTTTAACGCCCGCATTTATGTGCTTACTTTAATCATATTTCAGCGCGGAATTTCAGCGCCGGATTAAAGTTGAAAAGTAATTTATTTTTCTTGTGGCGACAGGACTTTGGACTTAATCGTTGCTGTAGTCCAGTAGTTGATTAAAAAATAAGGTATTACTAGGCTAAATGCAATTTTTCATGTGCCTGATAAAGATCCAAAAGTAAGTTGTTAAAATTACCAACAAATTTAAATAATTCAACAGTTTAAGGTTTTAAATTTGCTAGAATTAACTAGATTTTTATGGTCGAAAATAAATTTCATCTAAAAAGGCGTCTGAAAGTATGCAGTAAAATAATAATTCCAGAACATTGCAACAATATCGTAGCCTACTTTTCGACACCTTTATAGTTATTTTCTTGGTAATAAAAACTGAATAACAGTTAGAGGTAACAAAATAAAATTCTCTGATTCCCCTGTAAAGGATTTTAATAATTAGTTTCTCGAAAAATGTCCTTAAGTAGGGATCTTGAAAACACTATTGTCCAATGCACCCCCATGAACCCTTGGATCAGATGCCCTCAGGTAACTCCACGTGTGTCTGCGTCGCAGGCGTCTGCTGATGTCCCGATTGACACGCTTGGGACAAATTGCATTGATTGCACGCAACTTAATAATATTAATGTGCTTATTGAATGTGTCCGCGGCAGGCGAGGCGTATGCGTAATTTGTGCCGCAAATGTTGCCATTACTCAAGCCTGTGTGCTTAGCGCCGTGCGGGTCAATCAATAAAGGCCACACAACCACTCTCGGGTTCATAATGAGAGGGCAAACACACAAAGCTGAAATTGGAATACAAACACACAAACTCTGTGGTGGGATGTGGATCTGGGGATGTGGAATGACCGGCCATTAGCGCACTCTAGGACCGCCAGACACGCATCCAGTTTTATCAACCACTTGTGGTCGTTTCAAACATTTTCCCTCGACTTGACATGCAACTCCCTATCGCCACATCACCGCATATATAGCCGCCATATCGCTGCTATATTGCCAATGGATCTCAAAGTAATGAAAAAACAAAAGGGCCTCGCCATATTTACCTTTCCCGCTGATGATGTGTTTGCTTTGGCGTGTCTGCTGTTTGCTGCCTGCGCCTGACTTTATTTCTTTTGACTTTCGGGTTTTGTTTATGTTTGGGCTTATTAGGACAGCCCGCATATGGGACTTATTTCCCCTTTCTCCTGCCCCCGCACAAATAATACACAAAGGCTGAAAAGTGGTAAATCAAAAGCTCATTAATGAAGTTGCCTGCGATTGCAGATCGGACCCACACCGTAATAAGTTTATTTAATTTGAATGTATACTAAGGGTTTTTTTCCCCAAAAAAGAATTATGTCGTACATGTGTAGGGGATCCCCGAACGTCACTGTTAGCATTTGCGTTTTAATTGCCTTTTTAGTGCCACTTCCACACAATTTGCCACGCTTCGTGCAACAATTCGAATGGCGAATGGCAAATGGCGGCGAGCCGAGCGCACTCGCTTATATAGTTAATTATACTAATTAGCTATTGCCCTGGACTGCCCACAAAACTCGACCGACTGGCCAAATAAATAAATGTCTACATTTGAGTGGTATGTTTGGCTATTTGGCCGGGAGGTCGGTAGGTCGCTCGGTTGGCCAGCTAATTGTGCATGTTTCCCGCCCCGAAGCACACACTTCGAAATTGGCGCGGCTCAGCGGCGCATTAAATTTGTTAGTTGACACTTTTCGGCGGACGACGGAGGAGTAGAGGAATATATCCCCGAATTTCCATGCAAATGAGACACCATTCACAATGGCGGCTTAAAGTTGCCGCGGGTCACGATCCGGAAACACGACATGGAATTCCGTGTACTTTAATGTTTTCGAGAGGGCTTCTCTTTCGGTATAACAATGGAACCCCCAAGAACCCCCATTCCCTCGTAATGTCAACGTCAATTCGGTTGTGTTCTAAATCCATCTTGGTTCCAGGAACAGAAAAAATAATCAATATGCGGCTAATGTTGACCTGGCCAAGCACTTTCTCTACCTCCTCGGTGAGCCATAAAAATTTGTACGCTTTTTTTATGGTACTTAGAGCGAGCAAAACCATCGACCTTGAGTCGGCATCGGTGTGAATAGTGCTGCCACAAAAAGTTCACAACTAAATTGAAAGCAGCGAAATTCCCCGCACTCGGTCAAGTTTTGCACATTGGCCATAAACTCAATGGGCCCGAAGGCTTGGCCATGATTTCGGCGTATACGCAAGTGCGTGTCTGTTGATGTTTCGTGATGGAATTAAGTAAACTGAAGTGAAATTAATTGCCGCGAGCCTGAGAGAGTCTGAGTCGATATTGAGACGGAAGCGGTAAAAGGTTTACGTTCACGTTTACGGTTTTATGGGGGGCTTCACTACGGATTCGATGGAGCGGAATGGCACTTTGAGTGCAACTTTTTGTGCGGACCAAGACCGCGAGGCGGGATGCCTTTGACTGCCACAAAGTTGCGGCACGAAACTTGTACTCCTCCAACCTCCATCCTCTGCGGAGCTCCTGGCCGGAGGATACGGCTCGTCGTGGTTGTTTTTGTCACAGTGGCCCGGAAACTTTTCTGCCCACAAAATAGCACAAGGCGAACAAAGTTTCTTTGTGCTCTGTGCACCCAACCCACTCCCACTGATGGCAATTTTTATTTTTCAATTTAAAGTTTTTAATGCGCTTTCCATAATTTAAATGCGCATGCATGACACGGAGTTAATCCAATCCGCACTCACTCACCTTGAACAATATTTCCGGCCGGACATTGTGCTTGCACTTGAAGGTGGCGCTCGATCCGCGTTCCACATACCGGGGCACCACTAAGTGCACATCCACATCCGATTGTCCATCTGCAAAGGCAAGGGAGTAAAAAGAGAAACAATTAAGTAACAAGAAAATGGGAAAACAAAAGGTAGCCAGCCCCATTACAATGAAAAGCTCGGCCAATTGTGGTTTAATTGAAAAACCATTAAAAGGCTTGGTCAAATGAAAAGAAATTGGTAGAAAACTTCGGTGTGGCGCCGAATATGCAGGCAATTTGAAAGGGAATTTCGAAATTGCGGCTGCCCCAGCATGAAAGATACATACTTCAGTGAACTGGCAGATTACGGGACATCGTCCTTCGACCCGGCTCAATAAATCTTAATTTGTTTGCCAAAGTGCACATGAGAAATTTTTGCGCCTGCATGGAGCATGGAGTGCGTCCTGCAGACACCGGGGGTGTCAAATATTTGCAGCCCCTCTTTTATGGAGGAGTCACCCAACCTCCATTTTTCACACGAGGGAAATGGGAGGACATTTAAACGACATTTTCCCAGCCAGCACGTATGACCAAGGTGGAAGCAGCTCTGAATTGAGCTTTAAAAAAAAACTGAAAATTTATATTTGTCCGCAGTTCACACACATGGCTGGCCACCGCTGCGTATACGTAATGTTGGCGACTGTTCCGCTGACCGGCAGTTGATGACATTTAGTATGTGTGCTCTGGCCAAATAACAAGCACGTTAAATGAAGTCCTTTTTTCGGTGATTTTGTGGGCACATAAAATATTATGAAAATAAACCTTGCATATGCTTAAAATGAGCCACTGACAATCTGTTAAAAGCCATTGAAAACGGATTTTTTTATTTTTTTTAAGCAATTTTCCCAATTGGCTTTCGATATTACTTGTTCAAAAATCGATAAATTAATTTTGAATGAGCCCGCGCTCTGCCGCCATTCGCAATCATAATTAAGACACAAAGTGGCCGAGGGCAAACACATTGCCCCCATTTTTGTTTTTTTTTCGTTGGGCGCCAATTTTGCCTCCATTTTCATTTTCATTTATTCACACCACGCGTCCATCGTCAGTCACGCAAAATGTCAACGACTGAGTAAGTAAAAAACGTGTCTGACAGCGCGAAAAATATGGAAATAATCGGATAATGCAAAACGAGGAGAACGACAACGAAAACGAAAACCCAATGAAATGAAGCGTGTCAAGTGTACGTCTGTATAGGAAGGGATCGTTTATATATATACGGGATCTGTGAATGTCGGAGGCTCGAAACAGTTGGCAACTTGTTGCAGTACATGGCATAAACATGGCGAACCTTCAGCGGCCTCGTGGCAGCCATATCGTAGCCCCCAGCATGACGTACGTGTTCGTGCCGCACGCTAACGAGCCGAAATTTGCGAAAATTCAATCATGGCCCTGGCCAAGACATCCTGGCCCTAAAACCGAAAGCCAAACCGCAGCCGCAACAGGAGCAGATGCTGATGGCAGAGTCCAAAGGCCCCGCAGCTCCAAAAAAAAAAATATAGAGCCACTGTCAGTCATCAGACACCGATGGCTTGACTTTCCAGTAGCTGCTGGCCTTATAATCATTTCGTCTGCCTTTTTTCGACATTTATGTCGCACTTCCCCCCTCTCATTTTTCAGCCCTGGCAGCTGGCCAATATATCTGCAGACGCGAATAACGAATTTGAACTGCACGACCGCTGACAAGATGCTAAGCAACCGCAATTATGCTTCGTTGACTGTTGGCAAAAAAAATTCATTACTAACTCTGGCAAAAAAAATAGAGAAGAAACAAGGAAAAACGAGGGGAGCTACACAGTAGATCCTTTGGGTTGTGCAACAAGCTGCGAGACGAGTTGGCAGGAGGCTTAACATTTCCACCACTCACTGGATGGATGGATGTTTGCCCGGTTGGTTGGTTGGTGGTGGGCTAAAAAAATAAACGAACAGCATTTCTTTGTTCGCGTTGTGCTTTTTTACAAGCGGAAATTGATGATTTTCCACGGGCTGAGCGACAATAAAGCGTGCATCATGTCAGAAAAACGCAAATAATCAATCAATCAACATTAATCAACGCTCTGTGAAAAAGACAAGCCAAAGTGGGCAACTTTTTGCGCGGGGAAAGAAGCGACTTTAACAACTAGATTAGAGCCTCGAAGGAAATTGATATTTATCGCCACAAAATTCAATTCGTCAGTAGATAAAATTCAAGTGCTGCGCAAAGATTCATGGTTTGCAGCTTGATTGGTTCTCATATTCGTTTCGATACTCGAATGACCTAACTTCCCCACACAGGTGTTCAAAAATACACACAGCTAACCACAAAACCGAAAGCATAATATATGTTTACCTCCATCCCCAAAAACTCAACTCTTAAACTGCTGACCACAGGACCAATGACCACTGACCACTTACGAAGGAGTTTGAGCACTTTTCGATTCAATTTGGATAGTGTGGCCCAGGGCCATGATTAATGGGCCAACTATTAAAGTCAATAATTGTTTGCCGCTAGATAATTTAAGAGCCTCAACTGGACAGATGATTGATTGACCATGGTTCCCATGGACAGGCCGCAAAATAATTAAAGAGACGTCCCCCCCCGGTCGTTGGTCAACTTCTGTCCGCTAATTAAAATAAAGTCAAACAATAAAACGAGAGGAAACAATAAAACGATGAATATCGGGGCACGTTTTCCACTGATTGCCATATCAATATTGGCTCGAGAGCTATTAAATGGAATATGTGCTGAGAAATAAAAATAACCATTCTTTAATGGTGCTCTTTGGCCTTAATTGTCTTTAATGAGTAATTAATATGAGGATATTATTATGAAACATTCAGTTATTACTTCAAAATTGTTAAATTTATATAAAACAATATTTTAATCGTCGTTTTCCGTCCTTAAAAATTAAGTATTGTGACTGCATATTATTTGTATTTTTGCCTAAAATTTTAGTAAATAAAAAACACAAGATAAATTATAATAATTTTTCTAATAACTTTAGTAAGATATCAATAAACTCTACTTATTTTTATACAATAAAACAAATTTATTTATGAACTTTTCCCCTAAGTTTCTTTTTAATTTTAAAGCTGTCTTTTCCGTTCGACTTTAAAGACCCTTTTCGCTTATTGCTGATATGGCGATTTTTGCTCGAAGTGTAGCCATTCAATAACATCGACTTGGGGTCGACTGTCTTGGCCCGTCCAGCTGTCAGTTGGCCTGCTGAAGGCTCCCCGGTGTCCCGGTGTCCCGATGGCTGTGGGTCATTATGGCCAAATGGCAGCAGACAATGCTGGGGGCATTCACATTCCCCAGTTCCATGGAGTTCATTAGAAACGGGCAGCTGCCAAGCCATCCTGTCTATTGATCATCCAGCCCTCCCCACAACCAATACTTTTTCGAAAACTGATTTCCTGTCCTCATTACGGCTGTTTGTCTGCCCGGGTCTCATGATGATGGCGATTTTAAGTCATGGGCGTGACTGTCAATAATTTTCAAACCCCCCTTTCCGCCTTTCTGACTTATCGCCAGTGGACTTGGCATTTTCTAATTGATTTGTGGCCACGAGGCTATCCAATTTAAATGCATGCTATGGCTGATTGGGAACACAAACACACACACACATAGAGGGCGAAGTCGTGACTGGCAGGAAAAGTCCACAATGTTTTTAAAGTTGACCGCACAAAGCTAACATTTTGCTGGCCAAAACACATACACACCCACACACTATCAGCAACATAAGCCAAACAATAAAACGGCAAACAGCCGGCATTTACCCACTCTAGGACCTCCACTAGGACTACGACTACGAAAAGGATAAGGCCATAAGTCGTTATGCTGCCGAGGCGTTCGTTCAGAAAACTGTAAGCACTGGCTTTGTTCGTCCTTTGTCCTTCGTCCTTTTCGCTCGGCTGAAAAGGCCGAACGAAAAACAAAAGGCAGACAAGGTCCGCCGGCATGTTCGAGGCATAAAGTAATTTTATAGAACAAATCACAGGCATTAGCGGATATAAATCCAGTTTATCCCTGCCAGTGTATGCGCGCGTGAAATTCAAATAACTCGGGATGGCACGCAACATTGGAGGAAGGCAAGAAAAATGGTCGATTGTGGCCTGTGTTTTGGGGTCCTTGAGCTTGTAATTCCATATCCCTATGCCTCCCCACAGAAGCTATGCATGTGGCATATAGTAAGAGCTTGGCCACCGTGGAAAGCAGAGACTTTAGAGGGCCAAATCCCCAACTCCCCTGGGAGACAAATTGCTTGGCCTTGGTCACAAGGAAACAGGCATCATCAAAGGCCGTCCCAGCTGAGCAAACAAACTCCCTTTTTTTCGTAGTAAAGAAAGAAAAAACTTTAATAGCTTTAAGCGGGTGATTTTAAATTGAATTGCCCTTCCTTTATTTTATTCCACGTAATTTTCACTCCCACATTTTAGTCACATTTCTGAAATTAAATCACAGCCGAATGCCGCCATGAATGGAATCAAAATCAAAAGAAAAATAAAATGAAAATGGGGCTGGCTTATACAAGCCACCCATGCACCATGACCGACAAAAGTAGCCAATGTAATGGCCAAAACAAAATATGAAAGAAATTGCGGACAGCCAGGGCCAGAGTCAGAGGCAGAACCAGAACAGCACCAGAATCACAACCAGAGCGCCACAGGAAGCCAACTTCCTGGTTGAAAATTTTATCTCGGTGGCCCTGGCAGCCAGCGACTACGAAAATGAAAGAGCCAGCCCAGTCAGAAGGAAAAAAAAGCCAACAGAACAGAATCCGTTTATATGTATAAGAAAATGGCTTCAAGGACACCTCACACTACTGCTGGCGGCTGCACAACTACTACAGCTACCACAACTACTACATGGATATCTAAGGTCCTGCCCAGTTACGCCCACAGGGCTGCCCCAGCACGTAAAGTACATACCAGGCCAAGCCACCGGGCCCCACTGTACAGTGTACACCACGTCCCGCACCCATTTCCCATTTACAAGGCCGTGGAGCGAACACATGTAGGCCATGAATCTCATAACGAGTGTTAGACATGCGCCACGAGCCTCGCACT